TTACCTAAAATCTTTTCAGTTGCTGGTTGTCCGTACGGGGACAATTAGACGTCACCTTTGTGGAATTATAATACTACTATCATTAAAGGGTCCATGACACCTAATATTTTTCAATAATATTTAAATAAATATATTGAAAATTTGAAAAAATAAAAATAAAAATTTATGTATATATATATTATATTATAATTTTATCTTAAAAAAATTACATCAACTATTATCTAAAATATATTTTATGATCTATTGGAATTTAGTTTAGGTTTTTTATGCAATCGTTGCAATTTATATATATATATATATTTTATCATATAAAATATTGAATATTTTGATGCAGTTTCTTAGGTCTTATTACTTTGGTTTTTTATTTTTATTATTTTATCCTTTATTTTTAGTTAAAATCTTGCAATTTGTAATTAGAATGATAAAAAAAAAAAAAAATTCTCAAATAATAATAATAATAATCGAAAATGTAGTGTAGATGTAGTATTTTATTTCATATTTTCAACCAATTTTTTTTTTAAAAAAAATAATTCTACCTTCTCATATAAAAAGATATATTTATTATATATATATTATATTCTATGTGAAATTATTTATCATAATAATTTTGAAGTTATAATAAATTGGCAAAATATTAATTATATATATTTAATTAATAAAAAAGATAAACATGTACACCTGTAGACTGTCCTCTACATGTGCATGCACCGTATTATACTTATTATTGGTCTCTCCATATATATAAAATTATAATAATTATTTAATTAAATAAATTTTAATCTAATTTGAGCACGTCTCAATTTAAAAAATAAAAATAAAAAAGTTACTTATGAAACAAATAAACAAATCACTCCCTCAAATATTTTCCATTTCCTAAAATTAGAAAAATAAAAATATAAAAAAATAATCAATTTTAATTAATGCGAAGAGCCATCCCTAGCCTCCAGCACGTCAATTTACAGAACTACCCTCAACGCGCCTCAAACGAAATGACAAAACTGCCCTCGTTCATCGCTACCTACTCCTCCGAACGAGGACAGTTCGGTCAATTCGCATGAAAGGTCAAGCCTGTTACAGTAATTTCATAGACCGGAAATTTCAAAGCTTGTGGGCTGTGATGTCCCCCTCAGAAAAAAATTGGATTTTGACCCCTAACACCACATGAAACATCCACTTAAAATTATTTTTGTGGTTTTCGTTCTATAATCGATCAATAAAAATTTAAATAAAAATAAAATAAAAAAATAGATAGAATAAATTAAATTAAATTAAATTTTGGTGCATAAGTCGCTGTCCGAAATCGAATAATTGAAGGGAAAATCATTAATTTGTTTTGGTGACAAAAAGTTCGCTTGTCCTTTCCTCGAGTGAGTAAAATATGCATACGTATAAAGGGGTAGATATTGACTGCCTCAAATTTTTATAACATAAAAGTATAAAACACATTCCATTAATTTTATAATATAATATTTCCTCCGTCCGACTCTAACGATCTCATTTACCTATTATACTTAACATTAAAAATATATTTATCTTTATATAATTTTTTGTACAAATGTCACTATAATAGCATTATAAGACACTAATATAAGTATTTTTTACCATTTTCTTTTAATTTGAACTACATTTTGATACAATAATTAAGTATTAAAATATCAACACGTAAAAAGTAAATGAGACCCTTAAAGCCATACAAAAATAATATATTTTTCGTGTTACAAATTAATTTTCATATTAAATATATATATATTCTCTTTTAAAGAATAGTTCTTTGATTTTCGATAGGTAAAAAGTAAAGTAGAATTACTATAAAAAAATTACTAAAGAATCAATATAAATATAAGTAGTAAAAATTAATTATTCTTTATTGAAATAAAGATAATAAAATTATAAACGGATAAAATTATTTATTATAATTAGATTGTGTATAAATTTAACGGACAAAAAAAAATCGACATAATTATAAGAGACGAAATAAGTATTATTTTATTTTAAAAAATATCACATTCAGTCATTATTTAAATACAAAATACAAACACACCCTATGTGTGTGTGTTTTTTTTTTTAACAATACAATAGTTAAATATAATATTATGTTTAAAATAGTATTATAATAAAAAATTTAAATCTTCTTCTTTTTTAACACCTATAAAAATCAATTATCAACTAATTATTTAATTAAGACTGTAGTTACGCTGTTGATCGGGATTAATCAACAGCACATAACATATAAACTAACATTACAAATGTATATTAATGTAATATAAACATAGTATATGAACAAAAAATATATGAAAATATAACATATAATATCGTTGATCTTAGTATAAAAAGTATGCTGACACAATATATGAATAAAAAAATGAATTGACAATACATATTAATAACCTACATAGCATATGTTGTATTAATTCAAATCATATACTGGCATTTGATTAAATATAATTGAATAAAATGATAATAATATAATTTTTTCTTTAGCTAATATAGATTATATGTATTTTTTTAAAAAAGAAATGTGATCTTACTATAAATTACAAATATTCTAAATTTTATATTCCCTCCGCCCATAAGAAGGATATTATTTTCTAATTTTTATCCATCCCAAAATAAGGGTACCATTTTCTAATTTAGTAATTGTACTACCAACTTAACATAATAAATACTTTTACAACGCACAATATATTACACAAATGTTATCATTTTTATAACACACCATATTAATAGGGGCATTTTCGTCTTTTTTATTTAAATCAATATAATTACATCAACTTAATATATAGTGTGCATAAAAAATAATTTTAAAACGCATCTTTCAGGTAACGTATGCAGTATTGCTGTTAATACATTGGTTGAAGTTGAAGTGGACAAGAATTAATATATTACATTTGCTTATTATTTTTATATTTTTTACACAATTTTTTATATTTCACATATAAAAAATAAAAAAAAAATCAAATAAAAACACAAAATGGAATAGACATAGATCCAAGTTGGTTAATTTACCTTAATTGGATCGAATTAGTTCTGACGGGGTGTCACATTTGGGACAATATATATATATATATATGTGTGTGTATGTATTTTATAGATAGCTATCTTCATCAGAACAGCTATTATATGCACATGAGAGCGAGCAGTGGGGAGAAACCAGACTTTGCTGATAATTCAAGTTTCAATTCATTATGGAAATCATTGAATCCACATAATTTTTTTTTTTTTAATTTTTTATTTATTATATCGAATCAAAATTATTTAAAATTTATTTCATTAATAATGGCTATGTTGTTTATATATATATATATATATATATATAAGAAATTATAAAAATAAAAATACGGTAATATATGGAGACTATAAATGAGTGTTGATTGTAGGAATATTCCACCTCTACTGAATGTATTGTCATTGGATTCTTCTAATTTGAATGCTATGTTATTTATTAATCAATATAATATTATTTAATTGATTGTAGCATAAAATATATTTAATTTGTATATCAAATATTAAAAAAACTTAAAAAAAAAGTATAATTTACTTATATATCAATATTTTATATTAATCAATACATAAAGGTTCATATCATCAAATATATTATATACATAATATGTATAAAACGAAATATATATTTATGATTTGTTCAAACTATTTTTTTCTTTTATTATCAAATTCAAGAATTATTATTTTTTTTAATTTGAAATTTCCAATATTAAGTATACAAAATTAAAAACAAAAGTATATGTGAACATGCAATATGGGGAAAAAATATTAATAATATATCTCATTACATACTTTTTTCTAAAATACATTATAAAAGTTTTTTATACTATATTTAATTTAACATAATATATAAAAGATAAACTTTAAATTCTCAAAAAAAATGTACATTAACTATAGAGTTTATGGGTTTGTCCACTATTTTTTAATCAATATATATATTTTTTTATATTAAATATAAAAATTTTTTGGTGATAATATAGAAATATAATATTCGGGTTTGAATTATTAATTTTTGTGAATGAATAAAATAATATATATTATACATAAAAAGTTCATAATACTATTCTTACGATACAAATGTAGTATTATTTATTAAAATTTGTATGGAAAAAATATATATATATATTTAATTTTCTCCATCCGATTAAAAAGTTGACGTTTACTTTTTACACATAATTTTTTTAATATTAATATTAATATTAGATTAAGTTGTAATTAATAGGACAAAAATATCATATTAGTATTATATAATATAAAAGTAACAACATTTGTGTAATATATTGTAAATTGAAAAGATATTAAGAGTTTGTTCACACAAATTTTTTTTCCGACACGATTTCTAATATATATATTTTATTCTCACACAAAAGTCAGGATTCAACATAAAATATTATTTTTTATATTATCGACATAATTCTCTATACTTCACATCAAAATAAAAATTTCAAATCAAAATACTAAACAAACAAACTCTTAGTATTAAATAAATAGTATAATTACTAAATTAAAAATAATAATTTTTTTTAGACGAACGAAAATAGAAAATAACAACATTTCAATTGGCCGGATAAATTATTACTCCATTCGTTTCAGATATTTTGTCCGCTTTACTAGAGAAATTTAGGAGGAGTATAATTAGTAAATAATTAAAAATATAGTATTAGTGAAAATAATTATCCTATAACAAAATATAATTATAAATTAATATTAAGATAATTTATTAGTATAATTAAAATTAAAAAAATTATAAATTAAACTTTTTAAAATAAGATTAAAATATATAATTTTTTTTAAAAAAAAATTGACAAAATAAGTGGGCAGACGAAAATAAAAAAATAAACATGAAAAATGGACAGAGAAATATTATTTAATTTATTTCAAAATTCTTTTGTAGCTACTTAGACAAACGGATATATGTACATTTAAATTTATTTTTGTCTTAAAATTTTTGTTATGATAATTTTGTGTAGCCCTATATCTATCTATCTGTGTAGATGTCAGAAGAGTGTGATTACTATAATCCCAAGTTGTGCAAAAAGCAAGATCTCCCACACACCACTTTTTGCACACTACAAATTCAGCTCAGCTCACCTCCCATTCCTTCCCATCCCATCCTCATCGATTCTCTCTCTCCAATCCATATATATCATCATCCTCTTCTTTCTCACTCTAAAATCTAAATTCATATATATATATATATAATCGTGAGAATTTGATAGATATTTTAATTAATATTATTATTGTTAACTATGTCAACAATAGTTCGCCAGAATTTTCTGACCGAAACGACGACGTTGAACCTCAAATTGGCGGCGGATTTTGACGGCGATCACTCCTTGGAATTCGGAAACTGGGGTTTTCTCCGAACCGACGATAATTGCCCTAATTCAAACAACGTTAAATTCCTCGAGAGGCGTTATTCCCACCCGTTGGACAGGAAAACGACGTCGTTTTCCGCTATGTCTTTCGACCTCTGCACCGAGAATTTGGGAAGCGAGACCGGCTCTGACGTCATCGCCGACGACCCCAGCATTTTCTCTACATCGCCGCCGCCGTCGCCGCCGCTCAGCCCGCCGGCTCCGCCGTGTGAAGATTCTTCGGCTGGGAGGGAGCCGCCGAATTCGCGCCGGCTCGGCGGGAGGGAATTCCCGCCGCCGCTGACGACGATGAGCGGCTCCAGCTCGCTGCAGGTGCGGCGGCGCGCCGCCGAGGGCGGGCGGCTGATCATCGAGGCGGTGGAGACGCCGTTCAGGAATTCGTATCTGCAGGCGGAGAGGAGCGGCGGGAGGCTCCGGCTCTGCTTCTTGACCGGCGCCGATGCGGCGGAGCCGCCGTGCACCGCCTCCGGCGACGACGAGCCGGAGGATGACGGCGTAGAAAACGGCGGCGAAACGGCGGCGGCGCGCCAAATCGAAGGTTCTGGAATCGAATTGGAATCAGACAAGGAGGAATTCGAGGGAGAAATGAATTATGACATCGCCGGAATTTGTCAATTTCGGGCGCCGAGGAGGTGCAAAGAGGGCGGAAATGGACGGCACGGATTGTGCTGTAATTGGAAGCCTCCCCTGTGGGTCGCCACATCGTAAAATAACCCTGATCATTTTCAGCCGTTGGATTTAAATCTCATCTCATCACATCCGTCTACCTATTTTTCAATCCACAAATTTATGTGTTTTTTTTTTTAACCGATCTTTTGTTGTTAAAATTATTATTATTTTAATTTGGTGGAGTCAAATTTGTAGGGCGTGTTTGGCTAATTTTTCCGGTTACTGGTTTCTGAACATGAATGTTCGTCTTAACATTCCACAGCCAAACACTGCCTGAGAAGATTTCACTTGAGTATATACATATTTCAATTTAAATTGCAACGGTTAATTGGAACACGAATTTTTAGTTGAATGAATGGTTTCTGGAAAAAAGAAGGAAAAATTTTAAAATTAAAAATATATTTGATGTAATATTTTTTAAAAAATTAACTATTAAAATTTTCAAATTTACTGTGTAGACAGAGAAATTAAAAGAATTGTATCATTTTCGTAATTAAAGTGAATTATGGTGGACTATAATTTAAATATACATATTCCCATAATAATTACACAAAGACTTGCATACTTATAATTACATAAAAGACTTGGGTTTAGGCTCTCTATGTTGCGAAATTGAACTTGGTTGTAATAAAATTAAAACCCAAGATCGTTATTGGCTGTTGACCTTTTTGAAATTTAGGCTCAAAGATAATCGAACATTAAATCTGAAATCATAGAAATATTTATAAAGAAATAGAATATTATGAAATCAAAACAAATTTGAATCTTACAAATTCAAAACAATTTTTTAAAAAAAAATTAAAAAAATAAAATAAAATTTGCGTGTCCGCCAGGTGTCGCTGACTTGGCGGACACGTGGCCTCCGGCGAGCCACAGGTGTCTCCGACGCGGGAGGATTAAAACAATAAAAAATTTATACTTATTGAACTAGTTTGCGACATGCTCCACGACTAAAATGATAAGGATGTCCAGTTATGGACTAAAAAACAGTTTATCTTTTTTTTTTAATATAAAATTAGTTTTTGATATAATATATAACTTAAAAAAATAAATATTTAATTTGATGTTTTTTAACTCTTTTTTGTGATAAATAATAAGAACAAGTAGAAAATATCCAAACAAACACACATCAAACTTTTAAAATCTCCGAGAGACGATCCTATTCTACTTATACCATTTTTTTAATTTTTTAATTTTTTTATATGACGTGGGAATCCGCAGCTGCTACCCGAAAGTGCGCACTTAATAAACCGCCGGCTGAACCTAATACCCTGCAAACTAGGCCCGACAGACAAGTCACACTAGGCGAATCATGTATGGCAGGTGACCTGAGGCGTCGGGGGTTTGAACCCATGACCTCATGGTCACACGTCTAACCCCTATTTTTTTTTTTGGATGACGTGGGAACTCGCAGCTGCTACCCGAAAGTGCACACTAGGTAAACCCTCGGCCGAACCTAATACCTTGCAAGCCAGACTCGACAGGAAAGTCACACTAGCCGAACCGTTTTTCTTTAACGGGAATGTAGCTATAAAAAATACATGTGACAAATATTGTCAAGTTCTACAAATTTTCAAAGTTTCTGTCCACAAAAACAAAATTACGATCTAAAACTCTATTATTTTTTCATCAACAATTACACAAATTAAAATCATTTTACTAGTTCATGATGGCCTTAAGGATCCATTTTAAATAGACAATCCCTTCCATCAACACACAGCTTTTACACATATAACAAATATTTATTTTATATTATAAATTATACCTATTTTATTACAAGAAACATTACATCAACATTTCAACTTAGAACATTACACATATAATATTTTTAAATAAACTTTATTTCTTCTTAAAAAAAAAACACACACACACACACATCAAGTTGTTAACTCAAAATTTAAAGAAATAAATATTTTCAATATAATCGTTACAAACCCAAAACCTCTTGACACAAACACAACTTAAAAAGTCCTAATGGAAAAATCTAAAAAAAATAAAAAATAAAAAATAAAAAAGAAGAAGAAATCCACAGCCAAATAAACCCCAAATTTTAATGCAAATGTGAAATTGTGGCTATATTTTGAATGAATCTTTTCGATGAAAAAATGAAATTAAAATAGTTAATGTATTTCAAATAAAAATATATTTTAAATTAAAAATATGTTGGAAATGACTGATTTTTGAATGATTCTTTTAAATTATATATTTAAATATTGGTTTGAATTGATGTTTTGTAAGATGCTATAATAGTTTATTTTTATAAAGAAACATAAATAGTAAATAGTAAATTTTTGAAAAAAAGAAAAAAAGAAATTGTTAATCAAAACACATCCGAAGTTTGTAGTGAAAATATACATTTTAATTTGAATTAAAAATAATAATACTAAATTTAATATTTTTTTTTAAAAAAATATTATTTTATTGCTCCCTCCATCTCACATTCGGTCTTCGATTTACTGTAAATATGAAAAATTAGGTAAAATATAATTAGTAAGTTATTAAGAATATATTTAGGGTTTGTTTGTTTTGGGGTTTGGATTTTGAGTTGGGATTTGAATAGTGAAAATTTTGAATTTGAATAGTTATATGATGTGATATAAATAGGTGTTGATGTGATGTTTTGAATGTAAAATTAATTTTTAGTATAATATAAAAAATAAAAAATAAGTGTTTGATTTGATATTTTGGGAGGAGGAATGAGATGAATAGTGAAAATTTAATTCAATCCCCCAAACAAACACACCCTAAAAATAATTATTATATAATAAAATTAATTTTAGATTAAGATTATGATAACTAAGAACAATATAATTAAAATTAAAAAAATTATAAATTATAAAATTTAAATATAATTAAAATATATAATTTTTTTTTTTAAAAAAAAATTGCAACGACAATAACAATAATAATAAAAATAATAATAATAATTTTGTTATGGAGACAATGAATAGTAATCTACATTTACATATGGTATGATGGAATTTCTCATCACCGTCCAATCCAGTGAAAGATTAAGGGTATGTTTTTTTATACAAATTTTTTCAAATTTTACAATTTAAACTTTGTGTTTTTCGAAAAAAAATACAATTTTTCCTCTCATAAAATATCTCATCAATTGTTTTTTTAATACTAAACTGAAACCAAATTTTTTCAAATTTAACAAGAAGAAATTTATTTATGGATGCGAAATGACAGTTTTGCCCTAGTAGGTCCATACAATAAATGCACTTTTTCAATTATAAAATAATTCCTAAAATGGTGGACCTTAATTAACTCAAACTCATGCAATTAATTAGCCATGGATCAGGTAAAATAATTATATATATATATATATATATAAAAGAAATATTTGTTTAATGAAGTGATTTTGAATAGAATTTTTATTTTTTATTTTTTATTAATTTTATGTGAATTATAAAATAATATAAAAAATTGCAATAGTATATTAATTTTTCGAAAAAAAATATATATTTTAAAAAATATGTTTCCATGTAAAGAACACATCTTGTGTTTTCAAACAAATGTGTTTTTTATCACAATACTTCATTTAAAGAAATTTATGCAGCATCCTACATTAACACATAATTAACTAAGTTTCTAACTTAATCATTATTAAATAGAAAGATAAAATAAATATGTTTGATGATGTTAAATACTTACATATAAAATAAAATAAAAGTTATTAGTATTATTGAGGAAAATAAGTAAAAATGTTTACTTAAATATATATATATATACTATTTGCTTGTAGATTTGATAGATTATGAAATTTAAAATGTAGTTAAAATTATAAATATATATATATTTTTTTTTTAAAAAGTCAAATTATATAGAATTGACCGAAAAAAAAATATTGAACACTTTATATGAGATGAAATAAATATCTATTATGTTGTTTGAATTTTATTTTATTTTATTTTTAAATATTATTATGCTATGAGATGACCACTTCATATTTAACTAGGGTTTGTTTATTTAGTGTATTGATTTGAATATATATATATATATATATTTTAATGTAAAGTATAAAGAATTATATTGATAATATAAAAAATAATATTTTATATTGAATTTTAATTTTGAAGAAAATAAAATATAACATATATTGAAAATTGTATTAAAAATACTAACAAATTTATAGTTTATGCAGTCCACATTCAATAATCAATTTATCTTCACTATTATATCTATTTACTAAAATACCATCGTACTATATGTAATACTATTAACATTTATATTTTATATATACTACAAATAAATATTTGTTCATTCAATAACTTTTTTTATTAATATTATTCTTCATAAATATTATAAAAAAAAATGTATATATATTCTATTTTTTTTATAAAATTTAATAATATACTATAAAATATATTTATATTATTAATACAATTTTTATATTTAAAATTAAAAAAAAAAATTATTCAGAAAAATATAAAGAAAAGCACATTCATATTAGTATTATTTTTTAAAAAAATTGCTACAAAATCAATCGGAGCTTCCACTGTTCCAATTGTTTTTACATTTTCGTTTTTTTATTACTGAGAGAGTATTATTTAGATAGTGTGGACAAAGGTACGGCCACGTGTCAGTGAGGGTGGCCCCGCTCGGCTGTGATGAAGAAGGTACAACTAATTGTGCGGTTGGTACCTCAGATAAGACTTTGCAGCTGTGAATGCGATTTGTTATCAAAAGTGCAACTTGGGAGGGACTGTACGGTCAAGATAAGATATCGCATTTACTGTGTCCAACACGCGCCAGCGCTTTCTCCCTTCCATTAATCCATTCAATTATAGTAGTCTTTCATAATAATAATAATAATTAATAATTATTATAATTATTATTATTCTTATGATGTAATATTAGTTCATATATTATATTTTTATTATATTAATATAGAGTCCTATTTCACATGTTGAAAGTAATGGTACGAAACAAAGACCAAATTAAGGATATTCCTTAATGAATCTAACAAAGTATTCTTGTATAAATTATATATTATGCTACTATTTTATTTTTTTTAGTCTCTTTATTCAATAATAATTATAAAAAAAAGTGCAATTTTATCAAATAATAATAATAATAATAACAACTCTAAACTATATTTGAATCACAAAATACGACTTTATGTTATTATACACATCTCCTCCGACTGCTCGTAAGATACTTGTTTATTTTTAGCATGCATAAAATTTTATGAATAGTATATTTCAATGATAGGATGGACACTTTTATATGTAGAAGACCTGTTAGATGATGTAAATAATCGACTCACTTGAAAGTTTAAACCGTTAGGATACACATTATTTTATTTTTTTTATATATAAACGGGAGGCAACCAACAACAACACTAAAGAGTATTTTTCCCTTTGATGCTTAAATTAATATAATGATAAGTTTGTTTTTTTTATTTCAAACCAAAATTATTGAGTTTGTTTGTTTTGTGAAAAAATATTATCACATTTTTTCCAAAAAATCAATATAATATACATACTTATTATTTTTATGTTACTTGCATAATACCTAACATAACAAAAATATCCCTCAAATTAGTTCACAAAACAAAAAAATCTTAATTATCAATAAAAATATATTATACTCCCTCTGTCCACTTACAATGTTTACATATTTCTATTTTGAGACATCCAATTACAAAGTTAACATTTCATTAAATACCCTATTTTTTTCCACAAATACCCTTACTTTACATCACATCATTACTTTTATACAAAAAAAAGTAAGGGCAAAAATGTCATTACACTACTTTTAACTACTCACTGTAATTAAAATACTATTATTTCTTAAACACTGTGCTAAACATTGTAAGTGGACGGAGGGAGTACTATACTGCATCCGTCCCACATTAGGTATCTTGGTAACTGTAGACACGAAAATTTAAGATAATTATAATTAGTAGATAATAAGAATGTATTAGTGAAAATAATTAACTTATAATATAAGTTATTATAGATTAATATTAAGATAACTAATTAGTTTAATTAAAATTTAAAATAAAATTAAGATGAGTAATTATTTTCCAAAAAAAGAAAGTGACATGAGATGTGAAACGGATAGAAACGGCAACATGGACATAGTAAGTGAAGATGGAGGAAGCATTATATTATAAAACATCGTATAAAAATACTAGTTCTTTAAACTAGAACTCAAATTTAAAAAAATAAATAAATAAATAAACTCAAATCAAGATCAAACAAATTCAATATCGATGTTAATAAATATAAATTTAAAAATAATACTAGTTCTTTAAACTAAAACTAAAAGAGAAAAAAATTAAACTCAAATCAAAATCAAACAAATCCAATATCTACTTAAATAAATATAAATTTAAAAATATTTGTAATGTATAATAGAGTTAATAATTATTAAAAATAAAAATGACTAATATATATATTTTATTTCAATAATGATGATATACCATATCAAAGTAAGTGCAAAACAAAATACCAACAAAGGTTCTAAAATAAAATATTAATTTATTATTGTTAAGCACTAATGAAATTATATTTTATTTAACATATTTCAAAATAAATTAATTTCGAAACATTATCTATACCTATTAATATATAGAGTAAATTTTTATGACGTCATAATTGGAATGTAAATTATGTTAAATAAGTTTTGGACAGCCAACCAGAAGAGGAAGACACATCAGCATCGTGGACTCAAACTGTCCATTCACTTACAATATAATAATATCAAATAAATAAATAAATAAATAAAATCTAACAAATTAAAATAGCACACATCATATGTATTATTTTATTTATTTTAAGTAGATAAATTTTATTTGATTAGGGTAGCCATGCAAATGCATGTAATAGTAATAATCTTGCTAACTAAGGAAGACAAATGACTTTTCTTTTTCTTTTTTTTTTTTTCTTTTTTTGCAAGAAGAAAAGAAATAAAGTTCCAATAATCTTTTTTATTACAAGAAAGTAATTATATTGTAATCATAATCGTAATCAGTGCCAACATCCCCAAAAATAATTTTATATTAGTTTAGTGGGAAAGAAATTAAGGTTATTTTATTTACTACCCATTGATATAAGTATCAAGTTTTATTTTTATTTTTATTATTTTTATTTATATTATTTTTTTCTAAAGATGTTTTGGTAACGTAGTTGAATTATTTTTACAATATTACTATAGTTAAAAGATGTAAGAGTTTTATTTATTTTTAAGATCGGACCATAATTACTTAAAATATGGATAGTTAACCTCGAGCGAATAAACTAATTTAAAAAATTAATTATTAATAAGTTATTTTTTAGAAAATTATAAATTAAATAGTACTCCTCCATCCCAAAATATAGTCTTATTGTGTTTGACACGGTTGGTAAAAAAGTAATGGCAATTGTGTAATAATAATGAAAAAGTAGTGATAATTTTGTCGTGATATGATTATTTATGAAAATGAGACTATTGTTTTGGGATGGACAAAAAATAATAAACAAGACTATTGTATTGAGACGAAGGGAGTATAAAATAATTCTACAATATACTGTATAATATAGATATAAATACAAATGAACACAAATTGGTGGTGGACTATATATATATATATATTTATTTATTTATTTATTTATTGATGAGATATTGAGCAACAACAAAACTGTTAATATTTGAAAGAGGATCTAACGACTTGACAAATTAAATATTGGCAGACAATCACAAAAGATTTCACTTTATTGCGAATATTTCCTGCACCAAAATTCTCTGACCAATATATTTTTTATTTTATTTTCTGTCAAATATATTGGCACTCATATATAGACATATATATATATATATATACACATATTATCCATGCATCACTCCGTAATAAACAACTATAGATTAATTTTTAGGTCTTAAATTAAAAATATAATGTAAATATTTTTAATCCAAAATACAAAGGATTATAAATAAATAAAAAGACACAAATAATCACAATCCTAATTTTCCTTTCATCATATGAAATTGTTCCATTAATGTCCACTAGAATGGTGAAGCTTATCCAATTGATGCAATCATACACACACACATGTATAATATATATATATATATATCTGTAAATATATTGAAAATGGGGCAAGAAAGACATGCATCACTTGTTGCTTAAGGCAGAGAGAGAAAAGTTCTTTCTCATAATTTTAAGACAAGGACAAGAGAAAGGGATTGGTCTGAATTTGTTGGATTTGAGAGAGAAACTCAGAGATTTTGCTGCCAAATAAATAGAGAAACCAAGTGAGAGAGATAGAGTAAAAGTAGAAAGTTAAAAAAAAAAAACACAACAATGGAAAAGGAAATAACCAATGTTTGTTTGTTTGGTTTGACTTTGCGTGATGAGTGAGAGAGAGGTTCAATAAAAAGTGGAGACAAGAAAATATGAATTGCCTACAACAACAACAATAATATATATATATATATAGAGAGAGAGAGAGACATGTCATCCACGTCTTCCAGTAATATCTTTCAATTCAAAATTCAGGTTATTTGATTTGTCCACCACTCCATGCACTTTTTGATTTTCAAGATCATCCCACTTTATAAATAATATATATATATAATTCAAAAAAATGTATGAAATTCCACTACTACACACATATTCAAAATCTAGAGGATCTTCTTGCCCATCATTCAAGTTGGAAAAAAACATTATTATGGGGTGGGGGGGTGGGGGGTGGCATGAAAATTTGTTGGGAAGCATCATAATGGGGTTTTAATTTGAAACACATCCCTGCAATATATATATATATATATATCACACAAATTAAAACAAACACAAAAACACCTACCTACCTACCTACTACCCTGCATTACTATCATCATTAATCATTTGAAGTATAAGCATATTTTCCAGTGTCAAAAAATCAAAATCATGTTGTTTTGAGAATTCAAATAAACAACAATGGAATCCCATGTAAAAATCAATCTCTACAGATACCAGTGTATACAAATAGAAACACATACAAACATACATACATATATATATATATATAAGAAGTGACTATTACATATGAAAAATAAAATGCCCTGAAATCATATATCTTTCTATGCAATAAGATCAAACCTCCAGAAATTCTTAAAGCACATCTTTTCTTCAGAGAAGTGTTAACATTTTTTTTGTTTTTCAGTTTGCTTATTTTACATAATATATATATATATCTATCTTTTCAGATGGTAACATATGGACTGAAGATACTAAAGAACATCTGGTTTCGTAGGCGATATTCGATATTCGAACATGATAACTAGCTAGCATGTAATGATCTGATCATGGAGAAGCCTCTCTATGCACACTATGACAAGAAAATAAAGAAGTATTCTTACCAGAAGCACTGCATTACAATGGATCAGGGAAAGTATGCGTCGCAACGATTATTCAGATGTTCGATTTAATAGAAATCCATATTGTCTTGAAGATCAGATATATCTTCTTGACTGCTCAATTTTGTCGTTGCCAAAAACTGCATGTAGATTAGATGAAGTCACATTCTTGCGAAAGAAGTAGGTAAGAAACTGTAGGATTGTTTTGATATTGTTTGAATCGAGTAAGAACTTACATTTATTTCCCAGGAGATGCAAACCTTAATCGATCTCTTTTTCTATTCAGAATCCGATCTTTGGGTGAAGATGTTTTTGCCCCGCCTGCTTGTCGAATGAGCTCTGCAATATGTGAGTAATTTTAGTTGTCAAGATTGTAAATTACTCAAATTTATTTATTCATAGCCTCAGTTAATTATTATAATCACTTTCAACCTTCAATTGAAGATAACTCTATCAAAAAACAACTTTGGTCGAAAACAATAAAATTGCCTCAAGTTTGAAGATCAAGTATTGCAAATAGGAAATATACTATGCCATATGCATCCAATTTTCACAATCCTTAACACTAAAATTGCCTCAAGTTCGAAGATCAGGTATTGCAAATAGGAACTATGCTATAAGCATCCAATTTCCGCAATCTTGACACTAAAATAGCCTCAAGTCTGAAGATCAAGTATTGCAAATAGGACTATGCTATAAGCATCCAATTTTCGCAATCTTGACACTAAAATAGCCTTAAGTTCGAAGATCCGGTATTGCAAATAAGAACTATGCTATAAGCATCCAATTATCGCAATCCAACACTAAAATTGCCTCAAGTTTTAAGATCGGGTATTGCAAATAGGAACTATGCCATATGCATCCAATTTTCGCAAGGTAGACATGTGTATTGCATACGGCCAAAAATACTATAAAATAGGCATCGATCTTGTACATACAAAAAATGTGGTTAAAAACACAAAACAAGAAAAAGATCGATCATATTAGATGGCAAACATCTTGGGATTTTAATAAATGTGCAGGAAACTGGACATAACTTACCTCTAGTCCTTTCCAACTCTTCATCAAGTTCTTCTTTCCATTTCTTTTTCTCGGACTCGCTCAGCCTAGAGCTGCAGGGAAGACATAGTTGACAGTGAATGTACCAGGCTAGGAAGTAAATTTCATTAAAGAGAATCTACTAAAGTTAGAACATTTCGAAACCTTGGAGTAAGGGGCTCGATATGAGAATCAATAAGCAGCTCCCGAACGTCTTGAGAAGCTTGACAGTTCACGTCACCAATATTTGATACACGCCTGGAACATCTCCCCGGACTTGAAGCGTACTCAATATCAGGGGCTGTGGAAAGTCTTCTACTCCCCAACCTGTTGGGAGATCGACTGCTTTTGGGAGGCAAGTTGCAATTGCTTGAGATATTCTCCTTGTTGCCAATGCCGACCGGGCTTGGAGGACTGGCAACATTCAAGGAATTGTAGAATTCATAGAGAGGTGTTTGCAGCCTCTTTAATTCCAAAGCCTACAAAATAAAATACCAATCTAATGATTTCAAGAAATCGAGAGTAAAATAGGGGGCATAACTATGCATATGACTCCTAATCCCTCTAGCTCTAGAGGTCGTATTTTCCTGGTGAAGTTGAGAATAAATCACAGGCATAGTTTCCAGGTGAGAAACCTTTTCGTCCAGGAATGCTCTAATCTTTGACTCTGTTTCTTCATCGTCATCTTCAGATCCTGATTGTCCTACTGGAAATGTGAAACCACAATTTACCTCACCAGATCCTAATGATCTGTCTCCATGCATAATCCCACTTTTAATCATCTCGGGACTTCCATCAAACTTGCAAGCCCAATCATCATTTGGCTCGGACATAGGATTATAGCTCTGTGCAATGGAGAGACCACAGACAAGTCCAATCAATATTATCAAACTTAAGGATAACCTGAGTTTTACGACAAGGTATATATATATAGGATACTATGCTGTTAACCTGATTACAATCCCTGGAAAGAAGATGATGGCTGAATTTCATAGATGCACCAGTAACAAGATCGTCATTGTCATCGATTCTACACATATCATCATCATCATCAAAGTTAACGGGTGCCCACAGGGATCCTTGTGCTGAGAACTGCTCTGGACTAGTGGTTGAGAAGCTGTTTCAAGAAAATGTAAAAGCTAAAAAAATTAATTATGCAATCTTATTTAAGATTAACAAAATTCATTACACAAACAAGGAGCTTACGACTTCTTAGTTTCAACCCCAAGAACAGACGATCGTTTCCCAGAGCTGTCCTGCTGCTCCAAATGATTACCTCATTAGTGAATATGACATGCATTGTAAAATATAAAATGAAAGACGAGCATCTGCTAACCAAAAGTGAAGATCGAAGAAGGCGATGTGATTCCCGAGTTTCTTGAGTTACAAATGGATGCTGAAGATAATGGAGTAAAGGTAAGATAACAAGAAAACATAAAACTGCAGATAGGATTCAATTTTGTAATAAAAGATGGTTGAGCAACATGATGAATGGGCTAATTTGATGTGCACACGATTCAGAAATGATATTACCTTCAGCAAATCCGACGCAGTAGGCCTCAGATCCGGCTCCCTGAAGAAATTCAAGCAGAAGAATAATATGAAATGTGAGGGCAAACAATGAAAGAATTCCACAATCAGCTTTCCCTAGCAAAACTCAACTCCTTTTTTTAAGGAAAATGAAATTACAATGTAAGTACTAGACATTATACTTTTGTAAGCATTTCAACAGGAAATCCTTCGCCTTATCAGAAAGATGATCCGGTATTGGTGGATGGGATTTTGTTGTACCAACATAAAAAAGAGCAGCAACCTGAATACAATAAAAAATTCCACTGTTAAAATCATATTGCATATGCAGGCGTTGTTAACAACTCATAGGCTTTAGAATTAATAAGATTTGCGACTCCATCTAAGGATGCATTTCATACCTCTTGATACTGCTGGCTCCAAGGAGCTTTTCCAGTAGCCATTTCAATAACTGTGCATCCAACACTCCATATATCTGCCGAACTGTAATTTTAAGGAGAAAGCAGCATAGGTTGGTTGAGTTGTGAAGATATAATTTGAAAATAATTCTGAGAAACGAAATTGAGAAGATATATACTTTCATATGCAATGTCATCAATATTGACATGCATATATTTTAGCTCACACCCAATTACCATCACCTACCATTTGATGTTATTGTTGAGTTCAATTATGGAAAAATGCCACAGTTAATGTTACAAAATCAAATCAGTAAAGAAAACTGTTAAAAATATGTTGATTAATATTCATCTCAATTTTCATTGGTCATTAAACCACATAGACAGCTATATAACTCAGATAAATTCGAGAAAAAGCGCAGACATGTATATATATATGCTCATTATGTCGTTTCCATTGCATATGGACTTACACACACGCAGCAAACGATGACATTTAAAAATTTTAACTTCACCACCTACAAGAACCGAGATGTTTTACTCACAAGCTGTGACCACTTTGAACAATAACTTCAGGCGCCATCCAATATGGAGTACCCTTCATAGATTTTGCACCATTTATGGTGGCCTGTAGCAATATTCGGAGAGGCCTGGATTATGATAGTGAGTCGTGATTTTGAAACACATAGAATAGATAGAGAAAGAATAACTTGCCAATGCTTCAACTTTCTTGGATGCTCCAAAATCAGCAAGTTTAATGCAACCCTTATTGTCAACAAGAATATTTGCACCCTGATAAGATCCAAATAGTCAGTATTGAATAATTAGGAATATAAACTCTAGAACAAAACATTTCAATGGAGAGAGAAAGTACCTTGATGTCCCTGTGCATGATTTTATTCTTGTGCAGATACTCCAGCCCTAACAACAATTGCTTTGTGTACATCTTGATAACCTGCAGTCCAAAACTCCGAGTAAAACTTCGTATTCTAATCAACAGCCGATAGTTCCACTTACATAACTATATCGTGATTAATCTAAAATCTATGGCTAGCACATCTCATTTCAAGCATTCTAAAATTTAAGATGATATATGGTAATAACTTACGGATTCAGGGAAAGACCCAAACTTTCCTAAGAGTGATGAAATGGATCCACCTGGCACAAATTCCAGTAATATATTGAGTGAATCATTTTCTCTTGCAGTTCCTAAGTATCTCTGAAAAACAAGATGAAGATGTCTTTAGACCCGTGAAACATATATTGGATATTGAATAAAGCATGAATATAACACGACTTACCACAATGTTTGGATGGGAGAGATTTTTCAATAGATTCACTTCTTTTTCGAGCTCCATTATATATTCCTGAGAAAATAGTCAATGGTCCAACAAAATCAATCTTCAACTAATCCAATTTGATCAAACGAGTTTATTACATGAGGAAATTAGTAAACAAAACAACAAAATGAATCTCATTGTGCTAGCAAACAAACACAATCACAGCAGCATTTGTAAAATTGCATTCGAATAAGAGGCACCTAGTAGAACTAACATAGGCAAGAAAAATGATATGAATTTGTTCACTTGTGATGTATTTTTGCATTGCATAACTATATGTAAAGAAGATATTTCGCACTCAAAACAAAGAAAAAAGGACACCTGACTGTGTTTTGTTTTAGGCTTTTTATTATACAAAAAGATTTCCCACAAAAAAAATCAAATCAAACATCTATTTTCCGTTTATTATATCACACTAAAAGTTATTTTTACATTCAAAACATCACATATCACATCAAACAATTATTTCAAATCAAAACTCAAATCCGAATCCCAAAATTTTAATTTAAAAAAAAAAAAAAAAAAAAAGAAAGAAAAAAAAAAAGCCTGCATCCGACTACTATTTTTCACTCAAAAAATTTCAAATCCTAAATACCAAAAACATCCCAAAAACAAGTTTAACACATTATTGTTTGTACACAATGAATACTGCAGAAATTTTTTATAACAAAAGTCAATTGTATTCAATAATCGGTTCAGAATAATGTCATTACCTGTGTCTTCTTCGAAGTGCTGTTCACCGCAATCGAAACCTGCATTTGAAGGAAATGAAGTAGGGAGATATTCAGAAACCAAATTACAATTTCCAAAGTGAAAAAGGAAGAATTTCAAAATACAAATAAAGTGAATGAAATAAACCTCTTTAACAGCGAGCAACTCGCCGGAATCCAAATTCATCCCCATGTGAACCCTACCAAACGCACCGCACCCAATCAATTCCCCTTTCCTCCACCGGATCGGAGCCGGCAAGGCGGCCTCCTTCTTCTTTAATTGTTCATCTTTCACCGTCTTTGGAGTCGTCACTGCTTCATCTAAATCCCTAACTACCACCAGATCATCTTCCACCGACACTTCCATCGGCGGCAGAGGCGACTCCTCCTCCACCGGCGGCACTGCCTTCACCACTCCTCGCGGCGGCGTCGCAATTGGAGGCAAAGCATGGACCGGAGGCCTCTCAAATATCCCGATTCGCGATCTCCGGATACTAGACCCGATCTTTTCCACAAATCCTCCAAATCCCGCCGATTCTTCGCCGGACGGCTTGAAGACCAGCGATCGACGGACTGAGCCGAGGAAGTCTTGCATCGCCGGAGCGGCAAACACAGCGAATCGAGGAGAAAGATGCACTTTCTGCGCAGAAACAACACAGAAATTGGGGCAAAGCAACGGACTTTACTTTAGGGTTTTTTTCTTCCAACGCTAAATCATGAATTTGCAGAAGAAATGAATGAAGAAAAATACAAGCAAGAGGGAAAACGCAAGATTTGAATATAAACGATGGGAAACATAAGATGTTTTAATTATAGAATGACCCCAAAAGACCTGTCTATTTGTGTTTACACCCCAAGAAATTTGAAATTATTGGTAACTAGCCGTTGCGATCATTTTACTTTGCCTGTGGGACCCATAGATACATATATACATACCCTCCATGCCATGATTAATGAAGTATTTGTTATTTAATTAATAATTAATTGTTTATTTGGGCCCAGGCCCATTAAGGCTACGATAGCTGTAAAGCCCAATAGTTTTTAGTGTAAAATGAAGAGAATATTCCGTTCAACGAGCTACCTCACTATATATATTTTTTGTTACTTTATTTTTTTATTATAATAAAAAATATATATAGAAAAAATCATAATAAATATTAAAAATAAAAGTAATACTCAATACAATTCTTTATTAAGAAAATATACTATTTTTTATGACAAATAGAATAATAATAGTGAATTATGGGTCTTTTTTTTTTAAATCTCTCCAATTTTTAAGAGAATGTTAAAATTTAATTTTATATAAAATATTATAGTATCTAATAATTATTTTATCTTATTTTATATATATATATATATATATATATAAAAGGGTTAAAAAAAACTGTTTATGAAATATATTTTTTACTTTACTTATTTAATGGCTTGTTTAGTTTTTATTTGAAATTGAAGCTTTTATTAGAATAGTATTTTGATTTATTATTTTCTAGAGTAAATAATGTATTTTATTAAAAATGAATTACACTGGATAATAGTAATTTTAATTTTAAATCCAAAAAAAAAAAATATACCATTTATGTTTCTTTTGTTTTTTAATATATAATTTTTTATAATTTTCTATAAGAATATATTACATTTTTCCACCCAAAATATTTGTGTTTATTTATTTTTAGTTTGGAGTTAATTTTTCTTTTTTGTTTTTATAAAATATAATATTTTATTTTTAAAATATTATGTTCAAATCACTATCAACAAAAACATACCTTACATGTTATTGTTGATGGGAGATTAATAAATACTTTTTCCGTATGCAAAAATTAACTTTATTAGAGTTGCATGTAGGTTAGGAAAAATAAATATTTTTCATTAATAGTTAAATATTGAAATTTTTTGTTTTTATTAAAATTAGTAATTAAGTAAATTTAAAAAAAATTAACGGATGGAAAAATATTTGAAATGAATTTAACTAAAATTAATTTTAAATAAACGATGATGTTATTATGATAAATTAATAATATTATAATAGTTACCTTTTACATATTCATTTTCTGTTTAAAATTTACATTCTATTTTGCTATTAAAACATTGCATAATTGGAACATTCTATGTAAAATGATACATCATGTATATTTTACTATTATTTAAAAATTGAAGTCAAAGTAGCTTATTTAATTTATTGTAAGAATCTAAAATTTCCAAAATATAACATATTCGAATTTCTTATAATTTTGAAAAAAATCAAATTCCAAATCAAGAGTACAATGTATTTGTTTATGTTTTATACACATATATAAAATAATGGTTATACTATAGTTTGAAATAAAATGTCAAATAATAAATAAATACACACAATAACAAATTCACACTAAAGGGTGTGTTTGGAACAATTAAATTAAATGTAGTAGTATGTAATTTGTATCTAATATATTATGAAAAAAGAACTTTTAAAATATTACATCAAATAAATATTTATACTACATCAAATATAATTAAATTCAAATTTGTATTATCCTCAAACCTCCAAAATCAAAGGTAACAAAAAACACCAACAACAACAAGTGATTAAACAATAACTAAGTATGGTATTTACATCAATATTTTTATATTTTTTCCATTTTTCTTTGGTTTCTTACTTGGCATCCATTATTCATAAACAATTACCTTTTAAAAATATTTAAACATATATTCTAGTTTTTTAATTATATATATATATTAATTTATATTTTTAAAATACTAAAAACATAATTCATAATAAAATAAAATAATAATTTAGTAATTTACCTTACCTAAATAATTGTATTCGAAATAAATCATATTGACTTTCTATTTAAAATCTTAATATTCTAAAATTCATCTAAAATTTTAAAACATATGATTTTATTTTTTTAAAATGTAACGATAAGTCTAAAATGATCATAAAAAAAATAAAAAAAATTTATGTAAAGAATAGAAAATTGTGTAAAGAATATAAAATAATAAATGTATTAATTTTTTGGAATAACCTATAGGAAAAATTAAATGAAAGAACAAACCAATATAGAAAGTAAAAATTAAGTGTTTAAACATAGAAAGAAACACAAAAATAATCCTTCGTAATGATAAATGAAAGGAAAATAAATAAATAAACTACTTGACTAGACTTTTTTTCTTTCTAGTTTACTTCTTACACGTTTTTCTAAAATATTAATACATTACCAACATTCACTATTTTTATATTCGATTACATAATTTTCTACACATCAAATAAAAGAATTTATTTTCCAACAATTTCACAAAACATAAGTTTCTTTTTTTAAAAAAAATAAAAAATTAACAAAATTAACTACCGGTATCTGATCAGTAACCACCATTTTAAAAAATATTGTAAATAATTATAACATTAACATTGAAATTGCTCGATGACATTTTGTAGAAGCGTAATCCCGACCTAAAAAATATAGTATAATTATTTAATATGCTATAAATATATTGATGTAATGTTATATATATATAATTTAATTTCAATATATTATTTTGATATTTTTGAAAAAAAAAAAAAAAATGCAAAATAGTACTCCATTTTTTACGTTATTCTACTTAATATTAACAATATTTTTATATTTATGTAATTTTTTTTACAAAAATATTTTTACAATTTTTTTAAATTTGTATCTAACATGAAAAAAATAAATGAAACCCTTATAAATAAAATCTTTTTCCGATCTTTATAATCAAGGTAAGCTAAGCTAGTACCTGATCGAAAATCAGACTTGACCAATCATCTGCACCATATGAAACTGTTCTATATTTGTGATCCTCCCGAGTCATGTTTGTCGCACATAGTTCATCTGAAAAAAAATTAAAAAAAAAAAAAAAAAAAAAATTAAAAATACCATCCTATATAAACACGAACTTCCCTTTTCGAGGGTCACGTGAAAGCAAGGCTAAAAATTGGTGGACATTATTGAATTTGGATAACACGGCTGAGTTCACCAATGCCAGTGTAATAATGTAACCACTCATTCAATTCAACACTTTCCTTCTCCCCCACACACACATTTACCTGCAACACACTAAAATATGGCGGCGGTTTCGGCCGACGGCGTCGCCCTGTCCGCCACCACCGGACAACTGCACACCACCGCCGGGAACAGGCGGCACCGCCGCCGCAGCCTGCTCAAATTCTCCAGTGCAGAATCAATGGGAGAAAAGCTTAAATTCCGACCAATTCAGTTAATAAAGAACAATGCTCGTAGAAGCCCTGTGTGTATGTCTCTTACAGCCGATGTCGCCGCCGAGACGACGGTGAGTCTTCGACAAAACGTAACGAGAATTTGTTAATAATAAAAAACGATCAAATCGATGTAAGAAAATGAATGTAACAGTTGCGGGACCTGGAGTCGGAGAAGCGAGATCCGAGGACGGTCGTGGCGATCATACTCGGAGGTGGCGCTGGGACGCGGCTGTTCCCGCTGACGAAGCGCCGGGCCAAGCCTGCCGTGAGTTCGAGAGTCTGCCGTTCGCCGAATTTCGAGTTTCGATTCTGAAAAAAGATTCAAGTTTTTCTTTTTCAGGTTCCGATTGGAGGGGCGTACAGATTGATCGACGTCCCGATGAGCAACTGCATCAATAGCGGGATCAATAAAGTCTACATCCTTACTCAGTTCAACTCGGCTTCCCTCAACCGGCATCTCGCCCGCGCCTACAATTTTGGCGGCGGCGTCACATTCGGAGACGGCTATGTCGAGGTACCGTACGTTGTCATCGAAAAGTTCAACTCTTTTAGAACACTATTCATCAACTTCGCATCAAATATATTTTTTCTGTCACAAAATACCGGATCAAATAATCGACTTTTACTATAAAAAATTTCCGAAATTGAGGGATTTTCCTTACCAGGTTTTAGCTGCCACTCAAACGCCGGGAGAAGCCGGGAAAAACTGGTTTCAAGGGACAGCAGACGCCGTGCGGCAATTCCATTGGCTTTTTGAGGTATTATTATTACTGTTTTTTGATCGAATTGTTGTCGAAGCTGTGCCATGTCCTTTTTGATGCCGATTTCTGCAGCAACAAAACACAATGTAAATGTCGCAGGATCCAAGAAGTAAAGATATCGAAGATGTTCTTATTCTATCCGGAGATCACTTGTACAGAATGGACTATATGGATTTTGTTCAGGTACACAAACCAAAAAAAATCGAGTTAGATTGTTCGTAGCATTTGATAACATAACATTCGAGTTTTCATACAGAATCACCGGCAAAGCGGTGCAGATATTACTCTATCGTGTTTGCCGATAGATGACAGGTGAAAATTCGTCGCAAATTCATGATACATATATATATATATATATGCTTATCTATCGCATACAAGCATATATACACACATAGTGTTACATAAACAAGTTTCTGTTTACCATGATAGTCGCGCCTCAGACTTTGGTTTGATGAAGATCGACGACACGGGAAGGGTTCTTTCATTCAGTGAAAAGCCTAGAGGAAACGAGTTGAAGGCGATGGTAATTGCCGAAATATAACCTTTTCATAAAGATATCACATCAAATACCTAATTTTCATTCAAAACATTACATAAAAAATCTACTTTCTATACAATACATCTAAACATAACCGAATTTCGAAAGGATGTTAACTAGTTTAGCATATAAATTCAGGCAGTAGACACGACGGTTTTGGGACTTTCCCGAGAAGAAGCAGCAAAAAAACCTTATATCGCTTCAATGGGAGTTTATGTCTTTAAGAAGGAAATACTTCTAAACCTTCTAAGGTAATTCTCTATCCTCTCACACATTATAGTTATGAGAATATCTTGAATCAATTACAGTATATTTTCTCTCGATCCAGATGGCGTTTTCCAACTGCTAATGATTTCGGATCAGAAATAATCCCTGCTTCAGCAAGGGAATTTATTATCAAGGTTTCCTAATCAATTTAGCCAGATTCTCGTTTTAACTCAGCATATATATATATATATATTACTAAACTATAAAATGTCGACAGGCTTATTTATTCAACGATTACTGGGAAGACATTGGTACAATCCGGTCATTTTTCGAAGCAAACCTAGCCCTTACAGAACATGTAAGTATTATGCGTATCGTAAAACTTAAAATAGACTAATAGAGTAGTGAAATGATTACCTTACAAGACTTTGCTGTCTTTTCAGCCGCCAAGATTCAGTTTTTACGACGCAGCAAAACCAATCTACACATCCAGGAGAAACTTGCCGCCGTCAAAGATCGAAAACAGCAAGGTTATTACTAAACCCTAGCACAAATAATAAGTTCCCGGAAACATTCCTTGATAAACTATCTGATAAAGCTAATTCTTTCACAGATTGTTGATTCGATAGTTTCACATGGTAGCTTCCTAACTGATTGCTTCATAGAGCACAGTGTTGTCGGTATCAGGTCACGCATAAACGCCAATGTGCACCTAAAGGTTAGCTTTAATTTCTCTCCACTTTCATGATATATATATATATATGTTATCGAGAATCAAAGATATATTTGACAGTAATATATGGATTCTAAGCACAAATTCTTGTTTTTATAGGACACAGTGATGCTGGGGGCTGATTACTATGAAACGGACTCCGAAAGAGCGTACGCATTATCAAAGGGTAAAGTTCCTATAGGCATTGGTGAAAATACGAAAATCAGGTATACAAAACTTTGCCTCTTCTTCGTAAGACTAAGATCACATATTTTGTAAGTAATTTTTGCTGTTCAAAACAGAGAATGCATCATCGACAAGAATGCTAGGATTGGTAAAAATGTAGTTATTGAGAATTCTGAGGTATGCACAATTTTTCCTACATTGTACCTGAAAGTAGGGCGTTGAGTTAAACATTTTTGGATCCACCATGAATCTGAACTTCGCATTGCGACCTGCAGGGCGTGCAAGAGGCAGACAGAACATCGGAGGGATTTTACATACGATCGGGCGTTACTGTAATATTGAAAAATGTGGTCATCAAAGATGGAACTGTGATATAATTTTGCAATAATGTTACATCACTATCATGCTCAGAAACTCTCAGTTTTGACATAAATATGTGGAGTTTTCATTCTGTATTATGCTCCGACAGCTCAAATTGAAGGTGTCGAATTCTTGGTTACCTTGATCATGAACAAGTGCGAAAGATGTTTGTTCGGAAGATCCTCTCAAGCTGGTCCGGGTTGATTTCTTGATGGTGTTCACTAATATGTCTATATGTCTCTATCTGCTCGCAGTTTCTTTATGTGGTCCTTAACATTTGGCGCCTCATAACACAAGGGATAACTTTACCTGTAAGAAAGCAGTCGAATGCTACGATAAAGAGCAAATTTAACTATTTAAGCGAAGAAACAAAAAAGAAAACTCTTACATGGAGCTTGTTGGAAAGGATTCTGGAATAGGGTTCATCCAATACTGCTTCTCCGGCTCCGACACATCCTGTATATATTCCTTACCGAAAGCAGAAGAACAAGACAATGCAAAAGTCGGGCTAATTATGAAAGGTAACAACATGAAATTCGATACACATACTGACAGACAAATTTAATGCTGTCGTGTGAATTGAGAAATCTTGTCTCGGTACAATCACAAAAGCAAATACAGGTGTTACAACTAAGAAAATGAACTTTTGAGATCAGAAGATATAAAGGTGCAATTAATATTACTAAACATAGATGAAAAAGCAATACTCGGGGTGTTAATGAAGATCATTCTGATTACATGATTTCGAATTTCGGGAATGAGGTGTTACTTCTTTGTGTGCCACTTTTCAATGCTCCTGTACCAATTCCACTGGAAACATAGGGCTGCAAGGCGCACTAAACCGGCAGTAATTACCTCCACGAACGCCATCAGATATGATCTCTGAGGGGATAGACCTGCAGTTGCGATAGAGAGCAGATATCCCTCGAAGTTGCAGGGTACAATGAAGGTGCCCGACTGAATTCCGTCCAAAGATTTCTTGGCAACTTCTTCGGCTTTCATTGCACCAGAGGATGCTGCTATTATGCTCGTAAGCTGGGGTCTTCTTTTGTTCTCTGATGCAAGATGATAAAAATTCAATCCCAGTTCAAATGAAGGAGCGTAAGCATTTACAAAATCGTAGAGATTTAAATCTTCGAGATATGAAAAAAATGCATTTTAGCTCGATAGAGAATAGTGAAAATGAAGATAAGATATATGTAAATATTGAAACTGTAGCTGTTTTCGTGAAATGTTTACACAACCAGAGAAATAACGAATTTCTATCCCACAAAGCTATCGAACCTCATTCAAATAAACGACATATAAATCCATTCGGGCAAAATGAAATGGATAAAAGAGAACATCTTAAGTGTTCTATATATCGAATCCAAATTAATGCTCCTATAAAAGATACTTTTCCAAAATAACAGGAAAGCATATTGTCTACAACCGATAGGTATTATAAGACTTACAATTTAAGCACACGATGTTCTCAAATTATGTGATCGAAACTAAATCCAGTAATTAACAATGCAACTGAAGGAAAATGCAATTCTGTTGATAAGTAAGAATATTGGGCAGAATTCGAACCTTCTGCAAAACCAGGAGTTTCTGTGTCGGGAGGGAAGATGAGGGAGATGTGAATGTTATCTGCTATGACTTCATGTTGCAATGCTTCCGCCAAACCCTTGAGGCCAAACTTACTGGCTGAATAAGCCGCGTAACCGTAAATGCCAACCTGAATGAACCACATAAACCAAAATAACCACAATGAATCACAAAGCACAGAAGATACCGGCAACCACAGATCAAAAATTGCTTTCTAATTCAAATCCAAAGAAGTTTCGGATACAAACATAATGTAGGATACAGAATGAGTTTAGGACATGGCTATTAATTGAAGCATGGCATTCATTGTATTGTGTTTTATAATTAGAGTTGATAGCACACAAGACAATGACATACAACACACAATTTATGTTGACATAATACAAATCCAGCATATGAATCGACACTATATGACATTCGTTCAATAACACATACTACCATAATTTCATCACACGAGATATATTTATTCAGTCAACACAACCTATAGGTATGAACTATCGGCATTTTTATGTGCTGTTTGTCTATTTTTTTATGTGTTTATTGGGACAAATTTGTCTATTTTTTGTGCTGAGTGGGAAAAATCGGCAACCGCAACCTCTCCCTAATTGAAACCTTCACAAGTAACCAGTCGGGACCCTAATCTCTCCCTAATTGAAACCTTCACAATTACCTTCGTACAAAACACCCTAGAAGTATGAACTGTCTGTATTTTCATGTCCTGTTAGGCTATTTTTTATGAGCTAACCGGAGCAAATCTGCCTATTTCTATGTGTTGACTGGGACAAATCAGTAAACATAACCTCTCCCTAATTGAAACCTTCACAATTAACTTCATACAAAACACTCTATTAAGTATGAACTGTCTGCATTTTTTATGTGCTGTTTGGTTGGTGTTTATGTGCTGACCAGGGCAATTCTGCCTTTTTCTTTTTCTGTGCAGATTGGGCAAATCAGTAACGATAACCTCTCCTAATAGAAACCTTTACAATTAACCAGTCAGCACCTAAATCTCTCCCTAATCGAAACCTTCACAATTAACTTCATAGCAAAAAACAGAGTGAACAAATTGTGAATTCCTGTTAATGAAGAACAATCTTTAACAATTATATCATTAAAGAATCCATAAATACAATCTACCAGATAGTGACTCTCAAGAAATTGAAAATTTGATGCACACTGAAAAGCATGTAGGGATTTGAAATTAGGGTTTCGTTTCAATTTGGGGAAGGAATTTCAATAAAGAATGGGAGCTAATTATACCTGGCCTGCTTGAGAAGACATAATGGCGATGGAACCGGGCCCTCTCTCGGCCCGACTTTTTTTCATGGCAGGCAAAGCTGCCCTAATCAGATGGAAGGTTCCAGTCAAATTGACATCGATCATGAATTTGATCTCCTCCAGATCCTGATCCGCGAGCTCCTGAGGCACGAACACTCCCTGATTGCACACCAGGACGTCGATCGGGCCGGCATCTTCGACGGCGGTGCGGACGGCGTCGTAATCCCTGACGTCGGCGCTGAAGATTCTGACGTCGCGGCCGGTGGCGAGTTTGATTGATTGCTTGGCTTCCTCGAGCTTGGCGGCGCTGCGAGCAAGGAGGCTGACGTCGGCGCCGTGTTGGGCGCAGAGGTGAGCGAGTGCGAGGCCGATCCCGCTGGAGCCGCCGGTGATGAAGACGTGGCGGTTTTTGATTGGGACGCGGGCGGGGCGGGGCCGGACGAGGAAGTAGAGGAGGAGGAGGAGAGCGAGCGGGAAGAGGAGGATGAGAGCGGAGAAGGAGATGTAGACTGTCGCCATTGGAGCGCGATTGGGAGAGGCGAAAGCTTTTGTAGAATTAATTAAAATGTATTTACAGCAGAGCTAATCAAGTTTGACGAAGAAAACAAAGGCAATACTTTGCAATTATCAAGTAATTACTAATAATTGCTTCTGCACAATGGGTTTGTATTAGGGTGTGTGTCGGGTGAAAATTGAGATTGAGTTTGATTTTTATTTGATTTTGTATAATATATTAAAAATTAAAAAGGTATTTATTATTTTAATCGATAATAAAATTATTAAATTAAAAGATAATATTTTTATTTTGGAAAATAAAAAATGAAAAAGTATAATTTAATTATAAATTTATAGTATATAAAAATATATATATTTTTTTAAAAGGTCCTTGCGCAACTGGTCACAGTGCTATGTAATTCCCGAATTTAATAAATATAAAATAAAATGAGTTTCATGCAGGTATCTAAATCTACAGTGTGCGCAGGCAGGAGGTTTGGCCAAACCTATAATTTTTTATTTTATATATTTCTTAATTTAATTTTATTTTTTAAAAACGTTATTATTATATAGAACAAAATTTAAAATATTGTTAATTTTTTTTAAAAAAAGTTATGATAACGAATCTAGAGTCGCAATTGGTCAATTCGTGTTGACCAGTTTTTTATTATATCGAATTAATTTATAAGAAAATTATTAAATTATAATTATTTTACATATATAATAAATATATTAATTATGACTATTTCACATAATATATAATCGGATTAAATTTTTTAACTTAAATTTAATTATTTCGTATCGGGTCAAATTTTGATTAACTCTGCCCGAATCTTAAGTATGTAATATATTAATATTTATGACAAAATTATGTCTTTTTTTTTTTAGTAAAAAAGACATGCCCTTGGTTTAACACAGGTAATTGTAAGCATTGCCCCCATGTGGGATGAATTCTTTATTTTGTAGAACATGCAATGGAACCAAAATTCAGACATCCTGTATGCATACACGCAACGGCGACGGAACTAGGGCCGGATCAATTCACCAAGCCCAATTTTTTAGTATTAATAATATTAATTTTTATGTATTTATATATAATTTATTCTTTTAAAACTATCTAAATTTATAAATTAATTTTGTTATTATTTTTTATTTAAATTTATTAATTAAATATTACATAACTTATAATATTTTAACCCTCGAAATTTAGATGCTAGTTTAGTTGCCGACAACTATTGTCGCTGTCTGAATCTGAAACCCATTTACTGAGTGATACGCAAATTTCTTTCTATCTACAAACAGAGGCCAAGTTTCTTTCTTGCCTCTGTTAACCCATGCCAAAATTTGTTTCACTAAATTCATTTATCCTTTCCTCGTGTCAATAACTTATTTACACTCCATCAATCAACCAATCATACCTGCGCGACCGACGAATTCGACGTTTTCGTCGGCCGGTGCTTCAAAACGAGGGCGTAGAGCAGCTCGTTCCACGCGTCGGGAACTCCCGGCAGACACCAATGGCTGCAGTCTTGTCTGTGGAGGGGCGTCGGCCGGGACTTGTAATATACAGACGGGTGCCCGTCTTTTCTCATCGCCGTCATCCGAGTAATATTCAGCACGTCGAGCGCCGACCCATGGGCTGCAATTACTCTCGTGAAAATTTCGTATTGTGTCCATTTTTGAGACGCTGATAGAACGGAGCCGGGAAGGGTGTCCGAATTGCATGCTCCCCCGTCTCTCCAGTCGCCGCCCCTAAAATAAATAATTCATCGAAACATTTTAAACTCTATTTACATAAATATTTTTAGAACTCGAGTCTTGACAGTAAATTTGTCAAAAATTATTACATCAAATATATATACTCTTTCATCCTATAAGAAGGGTACTATAGGCTTTTTGGGTGTTGATATTTGAATATTAATTATTATATCAATACGTAGTACAATCGAAAATCCAAGGAAAATGACAAAATATCTCTATTAGTCTCCTATAATACAAATATAATAAAATTTGTGGAGTAAATTATCGATAACATAAAAGACAAATGATACTCTTTTTATGGAACAAAGGTAGTATTTTGTTTTTTTAGGAGACATTCACATTAAATTTAAATGTAAAACTTTTTACTATTCTTAAATTTTTTCAAAACTTCTATCTTTAGATAGCCTTACTTTTTCAATGCCACCCCTGAAAAAAATGTGGAAAGGCGCTATATATTTTTGAAGCTTTTGACACTATCTATCAGCAGTAACTATTTCAGAAAAATCTTTAATAAAAGATCACATTAAATACACACAATTTTTACTTTTTTCAAAACTTCTATCTAACCAGAACTTTAAATTTTCAAGTATGATTCATTTTGAGTTCATAATTAAATTCCGAAGAAACCTGAAGTGAACGGGAGCGTATGTCCGGAAGACGACTTGTGTGATGGTAGTGTTCACTTTCCGGAGTATCCATTCGACGACCGTCTCCAAGGCTTTCTTGTACGCTGCATCGATCGTCATGTCCGTCCGAACTTCGTCGCCCTCTTGAAAGTAACACCCTCTGAGCATCGATTTTAAGTGAGCGATGAAAAAACTACAAATAAACACAAGAATGAGACGAGTTAGAATTCGAGATCGCACCCTCTAAGAGTCTTCTCGTAGTTCCACCAATGACCCGTGTTGAGAACGAGGATATCGGCAGTTCTCCACCTTGACGACGTCCAATCCATTCGGTCCAACTTTAGCGTTGTTTTGATGCCGGACGAAGCGTTTGCGGGAGGACGGCTTTGCAGGACGAGGAACGGCGACCGGTAGTACTCCACCGTGCAGTTATACTCGGGAAACTTGAAAATCAAGAATCCTCGGTGCTTTGTGATCGGGTTCCCATTCACTTCATAGATAGAGTCCTTGTCGGAAACTACGGACGACAGCATACAGAGCATAGATTCCCATTGGTTTCTTCCTATCGAGTCTCCGGAGAACACAATTCGTTTATTTCGCAGGCTCTCCAGCATCACTTTGGCATCAAATCTGTTGTTTTTTTTCACAAATGTTAGAATTCATAGTTCTTGTTGAGACAATAGATGAAGAATGGACAACACAGAGTTACAAGGCTCCGTAGTTCTCTTCGATTTCACAAATATAAGGTGTGTTCGTTTACGAGATTTTCCCATAAATCTATTCATCAAAAAAAAAAATTCCCCAAAAAATCAAATCAACCACATATTTTCATTTTTTATATTATACTAACAATCAATTTTACATTCAAAACATCACACCAACACTTGATTATATCAATCATACAACTATTCAAATTCAAATTTTTTTACTATTTAAACCCCAACTCAAAATCCAAACCCCAAACAAACACACCCTTACCGTATCTCCTTTACAATTTACATACAGATAAGAAACAAAACCGAGACTTGGAACATATCGAAAAACAGGCAATTAACTATCAGTAGTCATTACACAGGGCATTGTTAGGTCCTAATTAGGATTACTCAGCAGTCTCCTAATGTGCACATGGTGATAGTGGACATAGCACATCACTTAAATTAAAACAATATATGTTGTATGAACTATTACATCTACGGTCAATAAGATGTGTGCACCGTTACCCTATGTTGATTAAGTTATTAACCATAATCAGCACCCTAACTGCCGCCGGGGACATAAAATAAGTAGAAGCATTTATCTTCCTCCACAATTTACATATATATAACAAAACTGGGTAAAAAAAGATGCATATCATTTGCAACCACAAGTAGATATGTAATATCAGTTCAAACACAAGAGCATAAATTTAAGTAAACAAATTTCCATTCTTGCCCAAAAAATGGAATGAAATGAAATGAAATTATGAAAGAGAATGGTCAAAACCTGGGCAAATTGCAATCCCTTGGCTGCCATCTCCACTTGGTGTAGAAACTATCAGGCCTGCCATTTTCATTGCACCTGAATCCTTCATCCAAGAACCTGCAATCTTTTGAATTATACAATGGATAATTCTCATCCCACACCCAATCCCCATCGAACAGATCACACACGCCATCATTGATTCCACTCAAGAAATCAAGTTTCTTCCCACTCTCTCCATCGATTTTCATCCACAGAAACCTCTCACTCAGGGAAGGGATTCTCACCCCTTTTGGAACACTATTGTAGTCCAAGAATAGAAACCCAAAAATAACACATACTGTAAAACCAAGAATCCCTACTGAAGGCTCAAACGGCCTAAAGCGCTTCACTTTCTTGTAAAAACCCACAAAGTTCATATCCTCAGAGACCTCTGCAGATGGGCTAATCGCCATTTTTCAAAGTCCCAAAACCAAGATTCAATTTCTACACCCTTCCCTAAAGAAGAATACTCACACTCACACACACACACACAGTCACATCCACACATATATATATATATATATATAGAGAGAGAGAGAGAGGGAGGGAGGGCTAGCAAGGGAGTTTGAGGAAACTGAAGAACTGTAATGTGCAAGCTAATCAACCGCTGAAAATCATCATAGGAAGTTTGGTCCGGAGAGTCTAAAAAATGAGTGATTTGTTTCTTCTTTACTTGTTGAAGGAGTATTGGCTGCCAAATGCCACCACAAGATTTTCCTTTTTTTGCCCTTTTCCTGTTTAGACAGCAGAGAGAAACAAAAGGGTATCTGTAAAGCAAGGAAACAAGCAGAGAGAGAGAGTGGAGAGTGAAAGTAGAGAGAGAGTGCAGGGTTATGATGGGGTAGTGGGAATGGTGGGGCATAGTGGGGGTGGGGGAAAGAAGTATATAAATTTTCAAAACAAGAAGATAGGATCTGGATTTAAGGGGAGCTTTGTTACAGTTGTAAGTAAATGATAGTGGGATTTGTTTGGTATAGTGATCAGTACATAATAATTAACACATGGTATATTATTAATTTAATTTAAGTTATAATACCATAATGAAAGAATTAAGAGGATTCAACTAAAGCAGGCACAAATCTCGAAAGAATAATTGCTTTGGCAACGGATTATAAAACTACCTGAGATGTGCCCACGTTCTTCTTCATTTTCTTCATCTTGACAGAATATATTATTAATTTAATTTATAATACTATAATGAAAGAATTAAGAGGATTCAACTAAAGCAGGCACAAATCTTGCTTTGGCAACGGATTATAAAACTACCTGAGATGTGCCCACGTTCTTCTTCATTTTCTTCATCTTGACAGAATACTGCAAGAAAAGTGGGATCTTATTTTTCTTGCATCTTTAGCCCTATTTGTGTAATGTGTGTGTACACAGGAAGAATTAAAATAAATTTTTTAAAAAATGTATTTGGCCAAGAAGAAAAAGAATTCACGAATGATGAGTTGTCACTGATTTATAAGTAGATTCTTGAAGGCATGCCAAAATTCTACAGCAACTAATTACTCCAGCTGAACTTTCAAGCAGTTAATAATTAGTGGTGCTATTATTATTTACTCCATTCAACTCTTTCATCACTTGTCTTGTTATGGAAGATGTCACCCTCATGTAGCCGTCGTCCTACATACATGTCATTTTATAGGGCTGGCGACATTCGGGTTCGAGGGCCGGTTCGGACCGGTATGGCAAAAAGCAATAGGACTAAACCGGTCCAGGGCTCTAGGCTTGTCCCCAGCAGGTTCAAGTATACTCCAAAAAAACCAGCAGACATAAAAACTGCATATAAAGTTCAGGTGACCGGTGGGCTGAGCAGAATCGGACCGTTCATTAATGGGCCACAGGCTGAACCAGACTATAATAATGCCCACTTTATTGACAATTTGAACCGAGCGTAAAATGAAACCGGCCTAGGCCAGTCTGGTCTCCCTAAATAACAAGGTAAAACTATTTCAAGTCACCTTTGCTACCGTAGACAATTGACAATATATATTTTTCAAAATATCAGTCACTAAGACACAACAATTTATAAAAAGTATGATTAATAAATAACTAAAAATATATTAATAAAATTAATTATAATATAATACCAATTAAAGTTAAATAACTAATTAATTTAATAAAAATTAAATAAATTATAAATTATAAAATTTAAAATATAACTAGATTGCATAATGTCTTTTAAAAGAAAATGACCTAATATGTGAACCGACCAAAATGAAAATTTTAACATTACATGTGAATAAGGAGGAAATATTTGTTATTAAAATATTGCATCAAAAACTTATATGTATATAAAACATTACCTCTAATACTTATTTGCTTAGGTTCTGATTAACAAGGCATGATAATACAAAACAATTGTAATATATGAATCGACAACACGTCATAATAGCATACATTACATACTACTACTGATCTTGGTACAAAGGTATATTAACACATACCCCAGACACCAAAAGGTAACACATGCTGGATTGATTCAAATCATGTACCATAGTCTATTTCATATCCTATCAGCATTCAGCGCCATGTTAATTAATCATTAATCAGTACCCTAATTATTCTCATTTTCGTCATATATACTTGTTTTTTTTTATTTAACTTCTTACTATTCAAAACTTCAAACCACTCCCAAATCATATCTAAACACAAGTATGCTTATTTATAACAAGTCAGAGTCTTGCTCGGGTGGGTCTCTCATTTCATTTTATGTTAACAGAAAAACATCAAAACTGAAGAATGAGCACCCTTTTTGCAAAGGAGAATTAGTGATGACACATGCAAGTAATGGTTCTTGACAGCTTATGAAATTCTGCGTAGGAAGATGAGTATGTTACCAATTTATTTTGTTCATTATTAGGGGCTAGATAATTAAGGGAAGTATCATGATTCTTCAGAGCAAGAACAACTGTTTACCAGATATGGCGCTTTCGAATTCTAGTAGCATTTGGCAAAAGGCAACGTCAGCAGCAGCTTCATCCCGTGAATTGCAATAGCACGTAACCCTGGCCCTGCAATAATAATAGATCAACTCAAGGCTCAATGCTTCATGGTAAGATCAGCAAACAAATTTCAGTGCAGAAGTTGTTACCACTCGATGCTTTAGCAGACCTTAGAAACCCAAATGGTTGAAGATTCTCCAAGGGCAGACTTCAAATAGGTAAGATCACAATCATCGAACAGAGATCAGGTATCATTACTATTAATCACCTCGTGAAAATTCATTGTTGAAGCTAACCATAACAAAGTTACAAACCAAACCTTCCAACAGCACTACATCTTCATAATGCAATTAAGGGCTACTCTAAGCAGTTCTGAACTATCGAGAAGTCCACATTGAACAATTAAAGCTTTCCTCAAATTTTGGCCAATGGCAAAAAAGCAACTGCATATTCGTTTAAGACGGAAAACAAAAGAACGAAAAAGACCTACAATACCCCATGTCCCCATGTATAATTGGCTAAAGATATATTTCTGTAAAACAAAAGGCCTTTCATTCATCAAACTATGGTAGATTCTAGTCTAATTAAATCATTAGGCAACCAATTCTCACCCTAATATCATCTACAAGTTCAGAAAAATCTTTCCATCTCAACCAAACATTCAGATTCCACCATGATCCCGGATTACATCCAACTCTTATGAATGATGGCAGTCATTTTACTTTGAAACCATCACTTATACATAGTTCTATGCACTATACAATAGAATCAACAAGCAATAAAATTCCCTATACATATATTTATATAAAAAATAAATAAATAAATAAATAAAATATCAGTAGCATTGATAGATCAAAACTAAATAGAAAGGATACCTGTTAAAGCTCGTTTCCAGTTGGAATTTAAATTGCATCGAGCTTGAATGAATTCAACTCGTAATCATATCTCCACTGGTTCAAACTCACTAAAATGTGCTATCCTCGTCCTTCATTCATTGGATCAACAGAATAAACAAGCGAAGTCTGGTGATTATTGTTCATGAGCATAGCTTAGGTACGATAGGTACATTTTCAAGTCACCATCAACGTGTATAGCATAGAACTTTCTGATCTACGAAAATGAATTAACCAGAAGAATTTCTACTTTGAATTGCACTAAATAAACATAAGCAAGTCTCTGGAACTAATAACATCAGAGCACAATTTGAAAAGCTCCCTACAATCACAAGAAAAAGAAATCGAACATAGGAAATAGATTTTTCATAGCTTAGGATCTGACTCAGGAAACCTATCCGAGAGAATTTTTTCAGCTCCACGAAAGCTGTCTTCGAAACCATCTTCGGACTTTACTTCGGCGGATTTGGCTTGGAGGAGAGCTTCCTGCCGCTGTTGCTCCAATTGCGCTCTCTCGACATAAGGTCTGAACCCTACCTGCATAGACAAGTAGCCGAATGCCATTGTTCCGAAGACAACCACCATTGATCTCATCGCGTTCATTTTCGCCGTCCCTCCCATCCTCTTCTTCTTCTCCCAGTCTTCTCAGGCGTCGTCTGTACGAATGAACGTGTTTTATAGGAGTGTTTATTTGCATTATACCCCACTAGAATCTATAATTATATTATAACCCAAAATACTTTAATCATATAAATCATGTGTGTTTAATAAAAATATTTTTAGGTTGTATTTGCTATGTAGAATTTACACTATAAAAATGGAAATAATTTTTATTTTTTTTTGAAATATTGCATTTTTTATTTTTTTTATTATTTAATTTTTATAATTTTTAAAATTATATTATTTTAATTTTATAAAATTTACATTTAATTTTTTATTTAAATATTTACCTTTTTACAGTTTATTAGAAAATTATACTAAAATATGATCTTATAAAATATCATATATAATTTATATTTTTTTAAAAAAAATATATCAAAAATATATTTTTATGAATTCTCAGTTAAATATCTATTTTGCCCAATTAATTATTATTATTTTTTTTAATTTAATTCTCTATTTTAAAAAAATAAGAGAATTAATTATCGTTATCTATCCATTCTTATTTATTGCAATTTTATTATCTATTTTTATTTTCTCATTTCCATGTCATCCTATCCTATATCCTATTCATTCAAAATATATTGCATTTTTAAATTATAAAATGAAAAATATGTGTAGTATTTCTTTATAAATTTTTACTATAGATTTTGTACAATTTCAAAAACATCCGATTTTCAACCCACAACAGTTACAATTACAAATATGTTTACTATCACCAAAGATTTGCTTTGAATTGTCTGAAAATCCATCAATACTCTCGGCCGGAAGTTTTAAGTTAAAAATATCAAAGTTTTAAATCAACATAACTAACATGCTAAGTGAAACAACAATCAATAAGTCAATTAAAATGTGTAAAAAATTGTTATTAATGGATCAATTAAAAAATAAATTATTTTTATCTATTTTCAAGATGTTATATTTTTTACTATAAATTTTATCTGAAAAATATTTTTTATGATAATAAATCCAACCCTTACATCACGACCAGGGTTAGGACCTCTTGCAATTTATTCTTTATCCGAAAAGCACCTATATTGCTTTGAAGTTTTTCTCGTGAAACTATTGGGGTTCAAGTTGAAATATTAAAAAGTCTACGGTGGAAACGGTAAAAGAAAACAAAGAAGAGTGACGGTTTAAATCGAGGTTTTTGTTCAAGCGCTTTCAATTTGTGCCTCTATCTTTCAATCTGTTCCGTCATCGTCTTCGAGGGATCCGATCCAGTTCTGCGAGCAATCTTCCGTGTTCCTGATAATCTGCGCAGTTCTGTTCGTGCACAACAAGAATCCTTCGATTTTCCTCGTGGTTTTTGGCAAATTATGCAATTTTATGAGTGTTCGTATTTGTATTTGGGCACGACTAGTCCGTGGAGCTCCTAGTCGGCAGTTTTGAAGGCGTTTTATGGTGAGTTTCTCGGCTGCAGGTGCTGTAATCAGGAGGCAACAGTTTTTGATACGGTGTTTAGGAGATTTCAGTAGTAGCAGCAGCAAAAATCTTAACTGCAGCACCATAAGAATGCAGTCGGTTATGAGTGGTGGAGGCTCTTCTCTGGAAGCAGATGCTATCGCTGTTTTGAAATCGATTACTCCATCTCTCGATCCTTCCAGGCATAAAGGCCAAGCAGGTGAATCCATCTAATGCTTATTTTTTGTTTGCCTAACTCATTGAAATACTCACAGTGATACTGTCTATCTACGAATTTGCTAAATTAGGTAGGAAGCAATTCATATACAATAAATGCTGAATTTGTATGGGTGTGTTGGAGCTTGTTCTTAGTTCAATTTGTCTTCTTCCACAAGCTATAACGTTTTAATTCTTTAATAATTTGTTTTTCCCCTGATATTGGTAAAGCACCTCATGGATTGTATTTGTAATCAACAGAAGATATCATTAACCAACAATAAATGGTTTTTGTTGCATAGAATTGTTGATATTGCTCTAGACCTTTCACTAATGTACTATGCGTAAAAGAGGAAGAACTCAGGATGGTTTGTGGTGGATTGTGGTGAATTCTATATTGTTGTCAGGCTAAGCTATTCATTTGCCTAATCTATATATTGAATGCTGGATTCTCTACCAGGGAAGATAGCAGTTATTGGAGGTTGCCGGGAATACACTGGTGCACCATATTTTTCAGCCATTTCTGCTTTAAAAATTGTTAGTTTTTCTCTGCCATTGTCTTCACTCTTGCTAGATGTTAATTCCACAAAAGCATAGATGTGGTTTGTTTTCTTTATTGAGAATGACTTAATTTCTCAGGGTGCTGATTTATCGCATGTGTTCTGTACAAAAGATGCTGCTCCAGTAATTAAAAGCTACAGCCCAGAGTTGATTGTCCATCCTATACTGGAAGAATCATATCACGTTAGGTACATATGTTTCTTGAAGACCCTTTGCTTTGTCATTGACTATTACCCAAAACGTGATTCTTCTTTTGCTGTATTGAATTGGACTTAAGAGTCCTTGAATTTCTATAATGATGCATTGCAGGGACGAGGATAAAAAATCAATATCAGCCAAAGTCATTGAAGAGATTGATAAGTGGATGGAGAGATTTGATTGTCTAATTATCGGTCCAGGCCTTGGAAGAGACCCTTTTCTCCTGGTGTGATTTCACAGAAGAATATTTTGCTTATAATATTAACTAGTTTACAAATCCAATCATATAAGCCACTGCACACTCCATCTAAAATCATTGATTAAGTTTCATTTTTATTGAGTATTTAGTGACTCCATGGACTGCTTACAAAAACTTGTGTGTGAGAGAGAGAGACTGTGAGTGATGTGTCCTATTTGAACCATTTATGTAGTTTAAGTTGAAGTGCCTTGTCGTAAAAGGTTCTTACTGTGATGCATGATTAAAAAAGTATTGCCCGTGTCATCTCTATACCTTGTTTGCTGCTTCTGTACAGTTTATATTAACAGTATATTTCAACTTTAGAAAAAAAACATGTCTAATACTTGGATTATCTTCAGGACTGTGTGAGCAATATAATGAAGCATGCAAGGGAATCCAACGTCCCAATGGTTATTGATGGGGTAAGCTGTAAGATCCTTTTATTATAAAGATCAAACACCTAATCTCGTATAGGAAGTGGTGGGGCTAAATGTGTAAGCTGTAGATTCTTGGCTTTTCAGGATGGGCTTTTTCTTGTCACAAATGCTCTTGATTTGGTCAGTGATTATCCCTTGGCTGTCCTCACTCCCAATGTTAATGAGTACAAGCGTCTTGTTCAGAAGGTTTTACAGAGTGAAGTAAGCGATCACGATGGAACTCAGCAATTGCTCTCTCTTGCGAGAGGGTAAATTCTCTTATTCTTTATTTTCTTTCCTTAGATTCTTCCATTTATTGTCGTTATATAGACATGCTATAATCAGATATGTAACTGCATGATTGAATATTTATCTTTTTGTCATGGATAGAATTGGTGGTGTGACCATATTAAGAAAAGGAGGATCCGACTTCATCAGCAATGGCGAAACAGGTATACCTAAATAGCAGTACTGATCCAATTTCTGTGGGCACTGAATAACTGTAGAATTTTATATAGGCAGAAGTTGAAACCTTTCTTACTTAGAGATTATCTTAGACAATAATTACTTAGATAGTTTTGAAACTAATTAACTTCGAAGTACTCCCTCGAATTTGTTGCTTTCATTCGAGCTCGTGGAGTTAGGTGTGGATTTCTGACCCTTGAGCTTTAATATTTTAAAATTTCTTTATATCTTAATATGACTAGGCAATAGGTTTAGAGTACGTTGTTTAGTGCTAATACTTAATATTTTTTAGTTTTTCTTTTTTTTTTTTTTTTTTGGGTAAATTGTTTTTTTCTTTTAGTGCTGATACTTAATAGTTTACCTTTTTTTTTTTGTGAGGTTTGGGGAATCATGAAAGTATTATAGGGAATATTATTTTGTGTATTTTTGTTGACTTTTATTGTTATGTATATATAGTACTTTCTCTGTTTAGAATCAATCTATCATTTTTGTCATTTTGATCGGACCAAACTTTTTGTAAGCAATTGTGGTTCCCACATAAATTTTTTTTAAAAGAAAAAAAAAACCCTTATATTTCAATTATTATTACAACAATATTATTTATTTTAACTCAGGCAATGGTAGAGTTGTCCATTCATTCATCTAATGTGCTACATACATATAAAATATTAATATTCCAAAATCTACGTACAAAACGTAAATGAACATATTGATTATCGACGGAGGGAGTATATTATATATTGTACTCCCTCCATCGTCTAAATGTCTGCTCAAATGTTTAGAAACGATTTTTAATAAAAATAGATAATAATTGTTATTTTTTGTTTTTTTATACTAAAAATTACAAAAAAAAAATGTGATGTACTTTTTTGCTTTAAAAAAAAAACGAAAATATTTTTTTAATGACTAAAAAAAAAAAAAAAGTGACCATAAATTTGAATGACCGAGAGAGTATGTCTTTTGATATTTTTTGGAGAATTTTGTGTTACTTTAAATTTTAAACCATTGCATATATGAAATGATACAATTCAATACCATATGAGCTTAGTGTATTAGAGATCTAGCATGCCTTATCTGTGGGATCTTGATTGCTTATAATGACCTTAACAGTCAGTTCCGTGAGTATTTTCGGTTCCCCTCGACGCTGCGGTGGTCAGGGCGACATACTTTCCGGAAGGTAAACAAATCTGATTTTGATGACACTTGTAATAATATTACATACGAGAAGTTCTGGTATCATTCAACGCATAATCTCTTCTAACATGGTCTTAATATTACTCTCTATGCCAGTGTTGCCGTGTTCACTGCATGGGCTCGTCAATTTGCTTCTAGAAGCGATCTGAAAGCGAGCCCTACAGTTTTGGGGTGCATAGCAGGGTCTGTTCTGTTGCGCAAAGCTGCTTCACTTGCGTTCGAGGCTAAAGGAAGATCGACTCTTACTACAGACATAATCGAGCATTTGGGAAACAGGTGATATTATTATGTTATAGTGACTGTATACTGATTTGGTCTATTTTTATCATACATGTGCTAACTCTCTACTATAATTCTTTTGTAATTCAGCTTGGAGGAATTCTGCCCTGTGTTTCGACAGAACTAATAGCCCCCGGGCACGATTTCGATGCTTTGATTTATGCCTTTTAACAGATAGGTTAATGGGAATAAATCGACGGCAGATATGCCCTGGCGATCATCGGAAGGGCAACTCTGTATGCAACGGCCTAGCAGGTTTCTTGTATTGCCATTTTTCAACTAGTTTGCTTCAAGAGGTATGTTTCTATGAGACTATGAATATTTTGTTACTATATATTAGTAAATTTAATTTTACTACGTATGATTTGTTGATATTTAACATTCAATCACATAGCATATATATATATATATATATATAGATAGATAGATAGAAAGGGCAGAGGTTACATACTATATTAGAATGAGTAGTTGTTACTGTGTTGATTTTTAAAAATAAGCAGTTAAAAGATAGACCACACCAGCATGTATATGGTGCTGAAGAAATAATTTCAGCACCATAATTATATATAATTACATTAATTAGATAATTTAATGATATAAATCAATATAATTAGCTTATGGCAAGGCAAAATAACTAGTTTTAATTTGTTTTCAATGCAAGTATTTACTTACCACTCTTCGTAGATAAAGGAGTAATGATTAATTTGACTACTTTATTGTGATTTCATGTATAAAATTTCCATGTAAGTAGTTAATTTATTTTAGTTAAATATTCTATTCAAATTCCATTTAATATATATGTATTTAAAAGATTGCATTCAAGATAACACTTTTTTTTTTTTATAGATTATATATATTGGAAAATTGTAAGAGAAAAATTATGTTGAGCAAACAAACAATTTACAATAAAATAGACCTGAGTTATGGTCCCATTTGTCTCAACCCATGTCGTGTGATGTTCATTTCATAGTTCATATCAATAAAATGAAAGTTAATGGAAATTGAAAGACCAATCAAGCACAAACACCTCCAAGTCCAATACATTTATTATTATTGTAATTATTACAAAGAGACTAAAATGGGACAATATTATCTACAAGACTAGATAGATATTGATAGATAGATATACAACCCTTTTACATGGCTCCTCTCCATTCTGTCTTCACCCCACCCCTCTGGATCACCTTCTCCCCTGCTTCGCTTCCTTACAATATATATATATATATATATAATATGGACGAGAGAGATCACCAGCATATATCTATTTGGAGGCTGCCATCATGCTTGCTCCTTCCACCTGAGATATTATCCAAACCCATAAAGGGCCACTTACTATTAATCATCTTCGACAAAGATAGGATAGGGTAGGGTAGTGTGGGTGTGGCCAAGATTGTGTTCTAATGGTGTGAATTTTGATCCACCATATAATAATTATATTATTATTTATTATTGTGTGGAGTACAGATGGCCTGTCCTGTCCTGTCCTATTCCACTCTCATAAAAATCTTCATGCACAAGTAATGGGAAACATTGTGGCCACAAATGTGAGAGACTATTTAGGCCTCCTAATGGACCCCTGATACAAAATCTGCCCTCCCTCTTACATATAAATAATACATAATAGTCTACATTACTATGTTGCTCATCTCAATACAAGAAGCATATTAACATAACATATGAATAGACACCATAGGGTAATAGTGCACAACGGTACATGCCATGTTTGCATCTAAACATAGTACAAACATATGATCCGACAATATATATGACAATAATTCAATTGTCATTCTTATCCTATATTGTTCAATTCCGGCAGATTAGGTCAGTCAAATAAATATGACGTTAGATTTGATTCAATCAATTTATACTTTTATATAGCCTTTCCCACATAATTATTATATACCAAACAATTTATGACCGTGTTGATTAGCGATTAGCCCTAGCCTCTCTCGTATGTATATATATATAATACCGATAGTGTATTAAAAATATCAAAGAAAAGAACGAATGAAAGAAATTAAAGGGAATGAATTGTATAAGATAGATTTTACCATGAATTTGGCTCCCCAAATTTCTTCCTCTCGAGCAGGAACTGCTGTGATCTTACTTTTCGGGTTCTCATAGCTTCTCAGTTCTCCCGATGTGGTCGAGTAGAAGCACCCTAAGAGCAATCGAATATTTACGAGGATCCAATGAATTCATTCTCATATTTGTTCACTCAACATATATATTTTCATAATCTCTCTTTTATCTTACCCTGTGGGAAAGATGCAAGTGACTTCCCACAAGCACCCTTAAGCAAGTCCGCGTCGTTAGCAAATGCCACGTATCCATCGGCAGTGATGCCCCAGTAGAGCGGAACCTTTGCGTATTGGTCCTGCACGTCCGTGGCCACGATATCATGTTTGAGTTTGACGGCGAAAGCCACTTAGCTAATAAAACAGTATCGATTAATTAAGGCAAGAGATTTTAACAAGCAACTCACGGTGGCCACAAATAAATTAGACGTGGTCTTGTCGAACACAATGAAGGCAAAGTTTCCTTCTAAGTGCCCCACAACATGGTTCGGCGGATATGGTGCCCGGTCGCGAAGTGTCTTGTAGGCTTCAATCATTAAAAGCACCTCGTTTGCCGATTTCGCAAGCCCGTATTGCTGCCTTAGGCTCCCCAAGTTGTCGAGCGCCCCTTCGAACAAGCAGAATATTTCATCCTTAACCGCAAACGATCTGCAATTTTCCTCAACCAAATTATACAGAATCATATGGCTTTGTTTATACAGATACTTTTAAAACTTTTGACATGTATAGCAACTCTTTTATAAACATCGCATTAAAATATATTTTTTATGTTACAAAATATCGCATAAAATACTAACTTTTTACTATTTTTAAATTTTTTCTGAAAAACTTCAAAAGTTTCTGCCTAAGAGGTGCGGACCAATATTTATTCATTCATTCCAAGTATTACAAATATGCATCATAACAAGCCCGACCAAAATATTCAATACAAAATACTCCATTCTTTAACATTAAAAATATCTTTATTTTTAAAAAAATATCATTATAATAGTATATTTGTATTTTTACTTTTATTTGTACTACCACAAAACGTAAATGAGACCATTAGAGCCGGACGGAGGTAGTATTAATTTAAAAATATATATTTATATTAATATAATACAAATACAATATATGAACTGACAATAAATAACAATAGTTCACATATCACGTTACCGTTAATCTTAGTACATGGAATATATTCATAAAGCACACTTGATTTCAAATAACACAACATGAGTTTTGTTAAATGAAAAAATTATGTAATATCCACCTATTTTTTATGTGTAGACAGGGACAAATCAGGCAATCGACATCAAGGTTAAGAGTGTTTTTAGGTTTGATTAATTAATTAATTACGTCTCCATTGCTTCTATGTTTTCTTCAAGCCATTCAAAGAAAGTTGCTTAAAAACATCCCTAAAGCTAACACAATCCAACACGGCCTAGTTTTCCAAATTCATCAGACAGTGTTGATCACAATCACAAGAACTCTTCTATACCAAACCATGATCATGCCAAAATCCTCCAAAAAAATCAAAACAAACATCACATTTCTATTACTGTAAAAACCACCAATTCAAGATCCACAAGTTACAATTTACTTTAACCATATGAATGTTGTGAAAGAGACTAACCGACCACTACAATCATTGACTGCAACATATGTATCATTTCTAAAAAAAAACAAATCTATTATCCCAGCTAAATCTATTGCTGTAATTGAAAGCTAAAAAGTGAAATTACTGAGAAAGTAAACGAAATTAATATTGTATTATTGATGATGAAAGCAAGTGATTCTAAAAATTTTTTAATGGATCATCATCAAGACGTCGCTAGATTGAACACTCCCAACTACTTCCAGATAAGAATCTTTGGCTCGTTATTCACTGTGGGACATCAATAAATGGATCTAAAATAATTCAAAAAAAATCAATGATGGTATATTCCAATCCAGGACCACCATATCCTCTCTACTGATCAAACAAAATTCGTCAAAACGCACTCATTGTAACTTGGGAAATTAAAAATAATACTATAAATTACAAAAGTTGTCAATTTTACTCACCAAACTGGAATCATATAATAATTTACATTTTTGATTCAAAGTAAAAAAATAGAAAGGCACAAAAACCATCACAGAATTAATTGTGTATAGTTTATTAAACACTTGAGATTGTAAACAATTACGTAAACACTTTTGGGAACTTTTGTCAGTATTAATTCGTAGTAATTTATTTCTTTTTCGAAGATTTTCCAAAATTCTAAAATTTTTAGCTAAACGGAATATAAGATTAAATAAGAAATATGGAAGAAAATTAGAGAATATAGATAAAGAAAATAAATCGAATATATATCAGGCAATAAAAGCAATAAACATGCCAAGTGTTCTAATGGTATAAAGATATATTTATAAAAAAAAAAAAAAAAAATCAGCAATAGAAGTAATTATAGTTTTCACCATATTCACGCTAAATAGAAAGGTGAATGCGAAAACAAACAAACAAAAGAAGAGAGGAATGTTCGAGATGCGTTTCAGTTTCTCAATCAATCCGAGAAATCTTCACTTGAAAATACAGCTGCAAAAATGCAGAAATCTAACCCAATCGTTCCCAAAGCAACCAAATCAGCGCAAATCAAACTAAAACATAGAACAATTTTCAACCAAAGCAATCAAAACAATCAATACATGAATAAAAGCATCCTCTACCACCAGATCATATCACACCGCCACTAAATTCATCTTCCGCCGATCGTAATCCAAATCGAAAATTAAATATTCAATAATTCGTAAGGCGATCCAATTGAACTGTTAATTTTCCAGCACAGAAATTACCTCGGCATCAACGGCGACTCCTTATGGTGAGTGTACGCCAGCTGAACATCATCGCCGACCTTCACAGAAACCGCAGATGAATACGCCTCGAGGAAGCGCCCAACCAGCTTATCCGCCGTCACTTTAGGCGACGGCGTCCTGCTTCCGGCCGCCACCAGCTCGTCCGGCGGCGATACTATCGAGCTGCTAAATACTCCCAACATTGTCCCTACTCACCTTTTTATCTACGCTAAGTTACATACAAACAATGAACCGACGGAACTGACGATTTCTAAATATATAGAATTTCCATTGAGGGCAGTTTTGTAATTATACCTTTCTCCCTCCTAGCTCCGTAGCATTAAATTTTTCTTTTATATTTGACGTTATTATCTTTAATATTAGAATATTTTTATATTTATATAATTTTTGTACAAATATTATTATATTAGTATTATAACACATTAATATAAATATTTTTATTATTTTTTTAATTTATATTATATTTTTATATAATAATTAATATTTAATATAACTATAAAAAAATAAATAAATAATTTAATTTTAAACGGAAAATATCATATATATATATTTATAAGTATTTTAGTATTCTAATTGTGTTTGTTTGAGGGATTTGTTTGGATTTTCACTATTCATTCTATTTTTTCCCCCCAAAAACATCAAATCAAACACCTATTTTTTATTTTTTATATTATATTAAAAATTAATTTTACATTCAAAACATCACATCAATACCTATTTATATCACATCATACAACTATTCAAATTCAAAATTTTTACTATTCAAATCTCAACTCAAAATCCAAACTCTCAAACAAACACACCCTAAGTCTCATATTTATTACATTGGCATGGTATTTGCGTTAATATAATAAAAAAATATAATGATAATTTTATACCGTCAAGATTATAATGACTATTTATGAAAATAACATATTCCCTTTCTCTCTATAATAAGATATATATTTTTTTAAAAAAAAATTATATATTATGTTAATATATAATATAAATTAATAAATTAAAAGAATAAATTAAAATTATTGTATTAGTATTGTATTATAATATAAAATATAATAATATTTTTTTATTAAGTATAACATTTTAAATAATTTATATATATTATATTTTTTAGAAAAAAAAATAATGTAACTAGATATATTTAAATATTTTTTATTTTAAATTATTTGAAAAATAAATTAGAAAATTTATACAAAATATATGAGTGTCTTTTTAAGCTTAGAAGATTTTGATTTTAATTTTGGATTTATGTAATAGTTTATCATATAATGCTTTTGCCTGATGTAAAATATATATATATTAAAATATCAAAAAAAAAAAAAAACCGATAAATTGGTTTTAGGTTGGAATAAATAACTAATTTGATTCATAAGGGTATATTAGTAACATCGCAGGGTATATTGTGTTTTCGGTGGGCGTGGGTCCACTTTAAATGTGGCCTGTGGGCGATACTTTTTGTAAATCCGAGGATGGGTCTTTCTTGATGGGTCGGATCGTAAATGGATCGGATTATTCGGTCCGGAGGAAAATCCTAGGGACAGAAATGGCGTTGTCGAAGTCGAGTATATTCTTAGCTTTTTTTGGATGACCCGAGAATCTGACACGTGTCAATTAACAACATATAAATGCCGCCATTGTATTCTATATTTTGGTCGTAATGCCCAAACGTAACTTGTACTACCTCCCTTACGTAAATTTTGCTATGTTTAGGTGTATTCTTTTGCAATTTTATTTTATTTTTATTTAAAAATAATTTTAATATAATATTTTTAAAAAAATAAATTATGCCTTGTTTGGTTGTGTTTTTTATAATTTTTTTTTAAAAAAAATCCTCTAAATTAAATCATATTATATACTTCATTCATTCGTCCTATTCGAAAGAGATCTTTTGTCATATTATATACTATAATATTTTATAGTAAATTAATAAATAATAGTATTTTATTAATTAGTATAAATATATAAACGGTTTTATCATTTTTGTCTTTTGACTTGATATATAAAATAATTGTATTTAAATTAAAGTTAAGAATATTTTGGTACTAGCATAAATATTTTTACTAAAAAAATTTTATTTTTTAGTAATATAGATGAAAATATAAAAATAATATTTTGAATTGAGATGAAAAAAATATTTATTTTATATATAATGTATTATACTCTTGAATTTGTACAAATATTAAGAGAAACAATATTTTAAAACTATTTTAGTACTGTTAAAATTATAAAATTTATAAAAGTTAGTAATGTAACTTGAATTAGTATAAATAAATTATATATTTTTTTAATATAAATTCATATTTTCTTCGTCCACAAAAATTAATTATATAATGAGCGACCGCGAAAATTAATTACATATAATTAATTTTACGGAAAAGGAGGACAGTTCTATAAGTGGTAATGTGTAGATAGATTTTAAAAAGTAATGGGTATAACTATAATAATTTAATAAGGGTGTGTTTGTTTGGAATATTCTACTTAATCTTTATTATTCATAATCTTTTACCTAAAAAATTAAATTAAATATTTATTTTTTATTTTTTTTATATTATATTAAATATTAATTTTATATTTAAAATTTACTATGTGTTTGTTTGGGGGTTTGGATTTTGAGTTGGGATTTGAATAGTAAAAATTTTGAATTTAAATAGTTGTATGATGTGATATAAATAGGTGTTGATGTAATATTTTGAATGTAAAATTGATTTTTAGTATAATATAATAAATGAAAAATAGGTGTTTGATTTGATGTTTTGGGGGGAAATGAGATGAATAGTGGAAATTAAATCCAATCCCCCAAACAATAGTTTTGTTTACCATTTTTGTCCGTCCCAAAGCAATAGTCTCATTTCCATAAATAAACATATCACCATAAAACTATTCATATTTTTTCATTATTATTACACAATTGTCACTACTTTTTACACTAATATACTCATAAGGGCAAAAAAGTCATTATCTTTACTTTTTACCAACTACCGATATAATATCAATATTCCTTAAATTTCATGTCCAACACAATAAAACTATACTTTTTGGGACGGAGAGAGTATTTTACTGTTAATATCAAAACTTCAAACAAACACACTCTGAAAATTTGAAGTTTTTTTATTAAATAAGTATGATATTAGCACACTTATACTATAGTGAACAAATAAAAATAGATTAAAATAAAAAAAATAGATATTTGTTATAGAACGAAGGAAATATTATATACTGTACTAAAAATTTTGATATGATATTTTACTGTATTGACAATGTATCAATAATTTGATGTATCGAATTTACGGAATAAAAAAATATTAAATTACCAAAATAGTATGTATATCGTACCAATAAAATACCGAAAATGATTCAATACAAAACTTTTTTGTATGGTTACTTTTAAATTTTAATTGTTATTTATTAATTATTTACTAAATTAAGAAAGCTTACTAATTTTACAGAAAGACTAAAGACTAAAAAAAAGGTGGATTAATGCGGTGGGATAAATGAAGTATAATTTTTTTATATTATTCACATAATTTTTTATACTTAACATAAAAATAAATTCATCTAAAAATACAAAGGCAACACACGGTTCGCTGAAAAAAAAAAAAAAAGAGTTTTTTTAAAATTTTATTTTAATTTAACTTATTTATTTCAACAATAATTTCATTTTAATATTTTATTAAAAAATAATAGTACTCTTTTTGTCTTACATACATTCTAAAATAAAAAATTATTAAATATATTTTATTTTATCAATTACTCAAATAAATAGAGTATTGTTTTTCTATTTATTGTTTTCTCATTTATAAATAGTGGTAATATTTTTATTTTTGGACAAGTTGGTGACGTGGACGCCCATAGTTTCTGTAACGGCCCCAAGTATTTTACGAGGCAGTGGACAATTCGAACACTCCTTTATGATATATTGTTATTAAATATTGAGTGAGAGATTTTGAATGAGAAAATTATAAATTAACATAATTATCTAATATTATGATATTAATACATATTAATATGATATTTTAAAAATTAATTTTTAATATAATATAAAAAATTATATATTTGATTTGATATATTTTTTAAAAAATACTTTTAAAAAGGGCAAAAAAATTATTTTTGGTCTCAATATAATCAAAATTCATCAATTTTAGTCTCAATATAAAAATCTTATCAATTTTGGTCTCAATATAACAAAAACTCATCAATTTTGATCTTAATATAACCAAAACTCACCATTTTTTGTCTCAATATAAATTATTTATCAATTTTAGTCTCAATATAAATTTTTTTATCAATTTTAGTCTTAATATAACCAAAACTCATCATTCATTTTTTGTCCCAATATAATCAAACATTATCTTTTTTGGTCCCACCATCAACAAATCGACGGAAAATGTTGACGTGGGCTGGCAAAATTGTGCAATTTCTTCAAATATAAATATAAGGTTTGACTTTTTTTCACGTCAGCATTTTCCGTAGGTTTCTTAATGGTGGGATAAAAAAAAATAAGGTTTGATTATATTGGGACAAAAAATGATGAGTTTTGGTTATATTAGGACAAAAAATGATGAGTTTTGGTTATATTTGGACTAAAATTAATAAAAATTTTATATTATAAAAAAAAAATTATGAGTTTTGGTTATACTGGAACCAAAATTGATGAATTTTGATTATATGAGAACCAAAATTGTAAGATTTATATTAACACTAAAATTAATGAATTTTGATTATATTAGGATAAAAAATAACTTTTTTCCTTTTAAAAAATATATATATATTATTACGCAATTTTCTTGAAAACGTAAAATGATTCCATAATTTTCTAACAATAGTATATGTAAACAAAAGAGTATTTTTATTTTTATTTTACTCTTTTTTAATAAAATACATGTGTGCTTTTTTTAAAAGCAAATCAACACATTTTCCCAATATTTGCATAGTTTAATTAGTCAATGACATTCCCCTATATAATGTTAATATCTTCATTTTGTTATTTTTTAACCTTTAAATATAAAATACTTATTTTAACATAGATAAACTATATATTATAAATATTTTAAAACTTATATTTTATTTATATCAATATTGAATTGAACTACAGAAATAAAATAATTCTACTTATAAAAAATACTGTTACTTATTATTAAAATATAATATTTAGTTACTTTCATATATATATATATATATAATATCTTATAAGGGAAAATGAAAATACATTAGACAATTGTTTATACTTATTTCTTTTGATAATATTTCTATAATAAAGTATATTTTAAAAATTATCATATTTAAAGGTTTTTTTTTTTTGTTTAAAACATTGTAAAAATTTTTTTAGTGTTTTGGTTTGAGATATACTCCTTTTGTCCCGCCTTTTAAGGATCACAAATTGTATTTAACATTAAAAATATCATATATTTATATAATTTTTTTTACCAGTGTCCTTCTATAAGTATTATAAGACACTAATGAAAGTTTATTTGCAATTTTTTCTTAGTTTGTATTATATTTTGATATAATAATTATATTCAAAGATCAATACACAAAAAGTAAATGAAACCAGCCGGATGGAGGTAATATTTTTTATGTGAAGTATAAGGAATTCCTTAAGTAATATAAAAGTAATATTTTGTATTAAACGTTGATTTTTGTGAAATGGTAAAAATGTATGTGTTGGATATATATTTTCTTAAAATTGTTTATTTCTCATAATTTTTAATAACAATATAGTATTATTTTATTTTATAAAAATTTTAATTTATCAAAGATACTATTTAAACTAAAATTTAATAAAAATAATTCCTAAAATTAAACTAAAAAATTATTTATTAGAACTATTTAAAAAAAAAAAAAGAGAGAGAGAGAATAAGATTCTCCTTATGTACATTCAAAATTTATTTTTAGAATGTTCATTTATAATATCATTTAAAAAATATATATTTTATAATATTATAAATATTATATTAAATATTTAAATTTTTATTATTATTATTTTTCAATTTTTTTGAGAAGGTGGTGGCATGATATAAGAGCCACAAGCAGGCATGATTAGGACTTGTCCTTAAAGTCCATCCATTATAATAATGTGATTTATGTCTTGCTGGTGACACATCCTTTACCTACTTGTACATTTCCCAATGATTTTGTCCGTAAAGTACAACCCGCCAAAGCTTCGATCGGATCTGGGAGTCGAGCTCCCGGTGCAACTTTCTAATTATGTGGACCAGCTTTAGATTTATTTGAAAATATTTAAGGGCGTCTTTGGAGATGCGATTTGGGGTTGGTTTAGATTTAACAACAATAGTACTCCGTCCTGAATACATTGTCCGGATTACCGTCAAAGTTTATGAAAAATATATTTAATAAATAATTAAAAATATATTGATAAAAATAATTACTTTATAATATAAATAATTATATATTAAAATAAGAATAATTATTTAACAATTGATCTAATTAAAATTTAAAAATTAGAAATTAAAAATTTTAAAATAAATATTAAACGTGTAATTTTTTTAAATAAAGAAAAATAACACGATATGTAAAACGGATATGAACACATAAATAGAACAAAAGAAATTCTTAATTTGTATTAAAAATACAAACCAAACACATCATTACACTATTTTTTTAGAACAAATTATTATTATTAAAGAAGCCCATAATAGCATGAGCCCAAAAGTGGCCCAATTAGCATAAGGACTTGTTTGGCCCATCACAAACTATCAAAGCCCAACAACACAAAACATTCTTTACCTGTCAAAAAGCCCAACACAATAAGTATTATGTAGAAAATCATCACAGTACTAATTTATTCCAATTAATATACTAACCAGTCTTTTTTTTTTTTTAAATTATCACTCCGTTAACCTAACGGATGAAATAATTTTTTTATGTGTAGTAAAAAAAATTACGTCAGAAATATAAAATATATTATTTTAAATTGAATATTTAATTTTTTTAACTTTTTGTAGTGACATTTTTTTTTTATAATGAGTATTTTGATATATTGATTCTTGTATAAAATATTTTGATTTTATTATTATTGTTTTAAGAAATCACCATTGAAAAATAGTATCCTCTCCGTCAACTTTGAAAATTTATATTTATATTTTGCGTCATTGTACTTAATATTAAAATTATCATAATATTTGTATGAATTTTTATACAAATGTCATTGTATTTATATTATAAGACACTAATATAAATATTTTTATCATTTTTACTTATTTTATACTATATTTTAATATAATAATTAATATTCAAATATAAATATGTAAAAGTTTGAAATAGACGGACAAAGTATTGAAATAACATAGCGTACATTATAAATGATAAAAGAAAAAAAAAAAAAAAAAACAATAATATAAAGCAAAAGTTTCAAATATTCTTATGGACATCCCATAGTAGAAATAAAATCAAACAAATTGGGATATAGATATAGAGAGAGAGTAATACATCATCTTCCATTATTTATTGAACGAATGGCCAATGAAAGTAATAAAAAGAGTTTAGAGAGAGAGAGAGCTAAAAGAAGGAGGCATGGCCATGGCCATTATGTGTATGTGTAGAGGTCCTTTGTGAAGGATCTGTCTTATTATTACAAGACCATCCTTTGAGCCGCAACACCCTGTACACGAACACTCCGGCGACGGCTCCGATGGTCGGCGCCGCCACGTATATCCACACCCGCTCGAACCTCCACGACACCAACGCCGGTCCTAGCGACCTCGCCGGATTCATTGACCCCCCCGAAACCGGCCTGCACCACCTCAATTATTTTTTCATTTATCAATCGACGAAAATCATTTGATAATTATCGCATATATATATATATATATAGACAAGCGACAAATTGATGTTTTCGATACGTACCCGGAAATTAGCACGCCGAGACAGATCGCCACCCCGACCGTGAATCCCGATAGAGGCCCAAGCTGCAACCACATTTCCGAAACCGATGATCATAATAGCGTGAAAAAAAAAAGTGCTAGATCCGTCTGCTCTAAGGGCCATAGTTATTTTGAGCGTATTGATATTTGAATATTAATTATTATATCAAAATACAGTACAAATTAAGAAAAATAGTAAAAATACTTCTATTAGTGTATTCTAATGTTAATAAAAATTATACAAATATAAGGATATTTTTAAAATTAAATACAGGCGGGTGGACGGAGAGAGTATATTTATTCTGTTATAAAAATATATAGTCGTACTTTTGGAACTGATTTTAATGTTGATTAGTAATAAAATCAAAAAAAAAAACATAAATTTCAATGACAGATAATATACATTCGTACTTTTGGAACTGATTTTAATGTTGATTAGTAATAAAATCAAAAAATAAAAATAATCATAAATTTCGATGATAGAGATAAAACGAAAGTACCGTTTGCGGATCGCTAAGAAGCGATGCGGTCAAAAAGAGAATTAAAAACGTGGCGATGAGCTCTATCCCAAACGCCGCGGCGGAGCCATGTAGCGGCCTTGTCATAAGAAGCTCGGGTCGAAGACCGTACACTAATTTTCCGACGTATGTCGCGAGGATCGAACCCCCGACTTGTGCTAGAATATACCCCGGGACCTTAGTTTTTAACAATTTATATTAATTCTTATCAAAATTTAAAAAAACATAAATATGTTACTGATCTGATCAAGGCATGCAGTAGGTGTACTTATATACCTTGGACCAGGGAAACGGGCCAACGGCGGCGAAAGCGATCGTGACGGCGGGATTGACATGCGCGCCGGAAATTGATCCAATCGAATAAACGATAACGACGACGGTGAGACCTGCGGTGGCGGCATAACCCATTAGCGCGGATTCGACGGAGCCCATTAAGCTCGTGTTGGCGACGATCCCGCCGATGCAAAACATCAAGACGAATGTCCCGAGCGCCTCGGCTAATACCTGTTGTTGAGATATTTTAGATATTGTATTGCCTATACATAGACTACTTATTTTTATGATAAAAAAGACAATCTTATTATGTTCCCCCAAATTTATAACACCTGTCGTCGTTGCGTCACAAATAACATCAACATTCGATCATATCAATTTTTTTTTCCTCGTGTTATACTGACGGCGATTTTGCGCTCATTCATTATTACCTCACGGACGAGGCTCGGATTTATCGGGAATTTAGTGGGTTGTCTAAAAGGAGGAGGAGATGGGCGACGAGTGCTCAGCGACGGCGACAGCGACGGAGACGGTGATGATGATGGGATTGAACGGTGGGCGTTAGACGATGGGGGTAAGTTTATTCGGAGCTCGTAATCGTAGATTTCGACTTCTTCTTCTTCGTCGTCGTCGTCGTTTCCCGGGGCTTTCATGGCTCCCTTAAATGGAGAATGAAAGAATAAAAGATTTGGGAAAATTAAATTTGAATATAGATTGTTTAATTGAGGGTAAGGGGATTAAAAATGGATTGGGAATGCACAAGAGTTGTGTGTTGCAAAGGTTTTGGACATGGAAAGGTTGTCATGCTTCTGCCATGGATGGTTCTTCTTCTTAACTGCTTTGATTTCTTAGGTTTGTTACAACCTAATTCATTGCAATGCATATTTTGCAAGAACAAAGAGAGCCTTTTGGTAGGGGTAGATCACTCACGTGCGGTGCGCGTGCATGTGCATGTGCATGTGCATGGATAGAAAGTTTCGTATTACTGTGTTGAGTAATGAGGGGTGTATTTCTATTTTATTTTTTTGTTTTGCTTTTCTTCCCGTCTTTTGCTTATTACTCCCACAGTCCACAAATTAATGTCATATTTTCCTATTTGAAATGTTCAATAATTATTGTTTTTTTTCTATTTTTATACATAAAATTTACTCTTTTACCCTTACTTTATTTACTCTTTCGTTTTCTATACACAGATTAAGGGTAAATTTATCATTTTATAACAAAAACCTTAATTACCTAAAAATATATGTAAATATCAAATTGGACATTAGAAAATAGACGGAGGGAGTGCTATTTGAATTCTGCGTTGATGTAATATATATTTGATTATGAATAAAATTGAAGTTAATGTGTTTTAATTATTTTGAAAATTATACTTTTGTAAATTATACGGCTTTAAAAGTCTCATTTATTTTTTTCACATGGCAACACTTAGAGGCGAATGGAGAAAATATTTTTTATATTGATGTTATTTTGTAAATAATACTTACTCCATCCATTTTATAAATATATATTTATTTTTTGTACGAAGTATTATATTTGAACGATAGTTGGTGATAATTTGTATATAAAGAGTAAAGAATATATATATTTTTTTTTATGGGAAAAGTAAAAGACTATATTTTATCCCTATAATATGTAAAATTGTTGTGAATTTATTGACGTAAATAAATATAATGTAAAGATATTTGTAATGTATAATAAGGTTCGTATTTACGGAAGAGGATATTGATACCTTTTATATAAATAATAAAAAATAGCAAAATATATACTAAGTACACCAATTGAGTAAAATTTTGTATTATATAAATAAATAATAAATATATATGTATATATATGGTTTTGATTTAAAATTGAATTAAGCTTTAATTTAATAATATTTTTTAAAAAAAAATAATACTCTCAAATCAATTGATAATTTTTTTATTGACATTTTTCTATTTTAATAAATTATATTCATTAAAAATATATTTAATAAATATAAATCAATTTTGATAACTTAGGAAAAATTCTACCACATTTTCATAAAAACATTATTTCAAAATTTCATATTTTATATTAAATTTGAGTTAAAAATTAATATAAATAAATGTTTTTTAAAAAAAATATGTATTTCAAATAAATAAGATGGATAGTATAGACCTTTATCCAAATCTCATTCAAGCGCAACCCAAATTTGAGTTATGGTTTGGCCCAAATTCATGACACAATTGAATTCAATTGGTCAATAATCTAGAAATAAATAAATTAAAAAAATTATTTGCTGTAACAAATTTATTTATTGATATTTGTTGGTAACAGACAAGGACAGAAAAGGGATTTGACTTTTGACGGTAAGGCAGAAGAAAATAGTGATAAAATCACCGCCACTGTCATCCACCACCATCACCACGTGACCTCATTTTGTTTACATTATCTAAATTTAGAAATTAAATAAATGGGTGGGGCCCGCATTGCATGGGTGACGTAGCTACACCCGTCGGTGACAGGCTAACGGACAATCCTCGCCGTTAATGACCTCCGTCATCATTCTTTGTTTGAAATGACTATTCCACCCTCGCCGCTTCCCTAATTAATTATTGACGTCTTCCAACTGGCTTCACTCGGCGGCGCGGCGCCACTAATCCTTTCAACCTCTTACGCGATATTTATGCTCATTTCAACGTCAATTTTATAAATATAATACTTACTACTTCGTCATTTCATTAAAATTAAATCATTATTTGTTTATTATTCCCTTCATTATTTAAATTTATACTCATTTTTTTATTATAAAAAAATATTTTTATTTTATTTTTAAATAAAAAATTATTATTTTTTTATATTTTTTACTATAAAAGAAAAAAAAAAGTAATATTTCATCCGTCTGGCTCTAAGATCTCATTTACCTTTTACGTCATTGTACTTAACATTAAATTATCCTTATATTTGTATAATTTTTTGCACAAATATCATTATAATAGTATTATAAAATATTAATATAAGTATTTTTATCTTTTCCCTCAATTTGTACTATGTTTTCATATAATAATTAATATTCAAATATCAACATACAAAAAGTAAATGAGACGCTTAGAGCCGGACATAGTAGTAATTATTACTCACTTTTATTAAAATTCATACTTAATCAAATGAGCGCACATTTGCATAACAAATAGAGTATTATTTTTGGAAGTAACCAATTATTGAGAAATACATATGTTTCTGTCTACGCAACATACTTTCACTCATTTAATATTATTTATTTTAAATAAAACATCAAATCAAATACACATTTTCTCTTACAAAACATTAAATCAAATACTAACTTTTTATTTTTTTAAAACTTTTAAATTTTCAAAAATCTCCAAAAACCTCTTATAAACAAACTTGTGAGTGTTAACTATATTTATTAATAGATGTAATAAATTCTATTATAATAAAAATTTAAAAAGTTAGTGAAAAAAGCAATAAAAAGAGTTATTGTAACAAATATTCTAAGAAAAACTATTGTGCTATCTACTTCTTTCGGGTCATTTTAAATAATACATTATTTAGAATATGATATTTAAGATAATAATATTTATTTAATTAATTAATAATAAATTATTATATTATTTTTATAATAGTATTTTTAGAAATTTTAAAATAAAATTTAATATATAATTATAAAATTAAAATATTTATTTAAATATTTAAAAATTATATTTCAATAAAATATATGTAATATAAATATTATTTTGTAAATAAAATATTATATAATACGAGTAAATAATAATATATATTTATTTATAATTATCATTATTAAAAAATAAAGAGATTTATATAGTATATAAAAAAACATTTAGTTTTTTGAGTAAAAATATAATTAAAGGAGTTTTGATAAATTATATATAATATATGATGTTAGATAATTTATAAAATTAATAAAATTAATTTAGATTTATTAAATACTTTATCCGTCTCAAACACTTTACAATATTTGTTTTTTGTTTGTCCTAAACTCACTGCAATATTTTTAAATTTAGAAATAATTAATAATATTTATATATATATATTAATATACACTTCACTTTATCTCATCACATCGCTCAAATAAAATAAATAAATAATCATTTCTTTCTCTAATTACATCACTTAATATCCAAATTATCTCAAATTAATATATTTAATATTCTTCACCTAAATTCTCATGTCAAACACAAATATTACACGGTGTTTGAGACTAATGGAATATATTTTAGTAATCTTTTACCAAATTTAAAAATATATATATTATTTGTTACACTAAAATAAATATATTTCTTATTCAATGAATGGATTATATTTTTATAATGAAGAGTACTATTAATTTTTGTAGTTAATTATACAATTAAAATCATACACAAACAAAAAGAGTAAATTAAAATATTATTATCCGAAAGTGAAAAAAGGACAATTAATAAAAGTTAATTGATTATTGAATAAAGTAAGTCCCCTCATGTGATAATATTATGCTAAATAATAACGCCTCGAAATTGAGGTTTGAATGAATAATTCTCCTCGGAATTAATTCCCACTTTTTTGACTTGTATCAAATTAATTGAATTCAATCAAATAATAATTCTTTAATCTAATTTAGTTAAATTTAATTAAACAAGTGCATGTAACATAAGTATATATATATATTTAAAATTAAATACCCTAGTACCAATTATTAATCCAGGACAGATAGGATTGCCAATTTGATTCTTCACATGTGAGTTTGTACTAATTTTAATAATTTATTTATTTATTCCAATTTAAGGGACATTATTAAATTTGGTACTATTTAGGCTACACATATTCTTGAGTTATAATTTAAAAATAAAATAAAATAAAATAATAAATATTTAATAAGGTATTTTGTAAAAAAAAATTAATTTTTTTTAAATATAATATATTATTAATGAATAATATAAAAAAAAAATTAAAAATAGAAGTTGTTAATTAGTCTGTGAGGGAAATATTGGTGGAGGAAATAGTAGTGCTCGCTTAATTATGGGTCCAGAAATCCATGGAGCCATAAGTCGCATTTTTTGTTTACAAAAAACTATATGTATTTATTTACTTTTTGCACGGCTTTTAAAAATATTAATATTATATTAAAATATAGTATAAATAACTAAAATAATTTTATTATCTAATATAAAGGTAATGACATTTGTGTAATATATTGTAAATTGTAAGGATATTTATAATGTTAGGTAGATAGTACAATTACTTAAAAAGAAAATGAAAATTTTATTGTGGGACGGATTAAAATGAAAAAATTAATAGTTTGTTATGAGACAGAGAGAGTATTAAAATCGCCATTTAACGTATTGACTAATGCTATTACACAAATAATTTGATTGATTAAATCAATCACTTTGGGCGTGTTTGACAATTAGCTATTAACTGACTAAATTATTTGATAGTTGTTAGTTGATTTAATTAGTTGGTTTGATTAGCTGATACAATTAGTTGTTTGTGTTAAAATGTTTGGTAAAACAACATTTTGATATTAGTTGTTTATACGTAAAATAACAATTAAGGACATTTTTATTATTTTTTTTTCTAATATATTCAATAGTATTTTTTTTTGAATTTAGAATGTTTGAAATTTTTTGTTATTAGTTATTGAAAATTATAAAAATATTATAAAATAGTAGTATTTATTTTTATTATAGTTAAATTTAAAAAATAATATATTTTTATTGAAAAATATAAATAATTTTTTCTATTGAAAATAATGTAAAATATAAAATAATAATTTTTTCGTGTATATATGTATTATGTTATATCGATTAGTTCATTATATTTATA